CTTCTGCCCCATCCCAGTGGGTGTCCCAGTGTCCCGATGGGAAGTGGGCCACCTGCCTGAGCTGGGCCCGACTCCCCACTCAGCTGCGCTGCTTTTGCTCCACGGCAGAATGACGAGGGTGCGACCCAGGAGAAGCTGGACTTCAGGTTGCACTTCAGCTGCAGCTCGTACTTGGTCACCACGCCCTGCTACAGGTGGGCCCTGCCACCGCCCACCGCCACCGCCCCGCTCTGCCTCCGCCTCCCCTCCGCCTGTGCCCCAGGGCCTGAGGCTTCTGGGCAGGACTTTAGAGATGGTTTTCGAGGTGGTCAGTGCAGGTCAGGCTGCCTGGCATCTGTGCCAGCTGGGGCAGAGTAATTGAAACCACAGGCAGGGAGGCGTCACCCAGAGAGGCCTTGGCTCCTGGCAGTCCCAGAGCCTGGAGGGCTGAGACCAAGGAGCTGGCAAGGTGGGCTCCTCCTGAGGCTTCTCCTGGGCTTGGCATGCGGCACTGTCTGCCCCCTGCATTCTCGCAGGCCTGCGTCCCGTCTCTTCCTAAAGGACATCCGTCCATATTGGAAGAGGCCCACCCCATGGCTTCAGGCACCTCTGTGACCTCTTTAAAGACGAGTCATTATCAGTTTCTGGGGGTCAGAGCTTCCACACGTGAAGAAAAGGCACATCTTCAAGGATCCCTGAGGATCCCGGCCCCACCGGAGTCAGCCTCCCTGTCCCTCCCACAGCGACGCCTTTGCCAAGTTGTTGGAGTCTGGGGACCTGAGCATGAGCTCAGTCAAAGTCGACGGCATTCAGCTGTCCTTCCAGAACCTTCTGGCGAAGATCTGTTTTCACCACCACTTTTCCGGTAAGGAGAGCAAGGGGCTGATGGATTGCACGGGGTTCGCGTCCGTGGTAGCCATCCCTTCCTGTTGGAGCTGGGCCTGCGGCCTCATCCTTTGGGATTCCGGGTGGCTAGTGGCCCCATGGCCTGGGAGCTGGTTCGGGGGCTGCTGTTCACGCCCCAGGCCTCCCAGGGGCCACATTGTACTCCTGCAGCCCCCGGGAAGGCGGCCCCTGCAGTGGGGGCGCGGCTGCACCTGTGCGGTGCGTGGGGAGCCTGAGCCACCCGCTCTGTTGCAGTTGTGGAGAGAGTGGACTCCTGCGCCTCCATGTACAGCCGCTCCATCCAGGGCCACCACGTCTGCCTCCTGGTGAAAAAGGTGAGCCCCAGGCCGCGGCGCTCGCCCTGGCTCCTGCCGCCTCTCCTGGGCCTTCATCCTCAGGGCTGAGCCTTGGGGCTTCGAGGGCTCAAGGACGGGGATGCCCGCACTGCAGCTGTGAGCCCCTCACCTGCGCCAGCCCACTCAGCAGCGCAAGCTCGCTCAGCAAGTCGGGGCTTCCTCCTCCTGCTGTGCTGCTCACCCCAGGCTGACGCACGGCTCCGGGGCCCCACGCGCTCAAGACTCCCACCCCACCCCCTGCACGAGGCAGCCCGGGCCCTGGGTCGGGCGCTCCACCTCTCCTGCGCTCCTAGAGTGGTGCTCCGCGCCTCCTCCTGCCTGAGTGCTGCGGGTGGGTGTCTTGCAGCGTGTGGATGTTTTGCTGAGGGCGTCGCGTCTGTGTTTATGGAGTTTGGTGTAGTTTTCGGTTTCATCGTCAAGTGATCTCACAAAGACTGTAGAGAGTTCACGAGGAAGACCATCGGGCCCGCAGAGTTCTTTTTCTGTAGGCTTCTAGCTACAAACGGGGTTTCTTTGTTGTTTTGTTTTATGATTTGGAGTTTTGCTCTTGTCGCCCAGGCTGGAGTGCAGTGGCGCGATCTCAACTCACTGCCACCTCTGCCTCCCAGATTCAAGCGATTCTCCTGCCTCAGCCTCCCGAGTGGCTGGCCCGGACTACAGGCGCCCACCACCATGCTCAGCTGATTTTTGTACTTTTAGTAGAGACAGGGTTTCCACGTGTTTCCCAGGCTGGTCTTGAACTCCTGACCTCAGGTGATCCTCCCGCTTCAGCCTCCCAGCGTGCTGGGATTGCAAACGTGAGCCACTGTGCCCGGCCGTCATTGCTGCTATTTTCATTCCTACCGTTCCAGTGTTCTCCTGGTTGACTGCCTCTCATGGAACACTCACTCTGCCCCCTCCCCAGACCCTGGCACACACAGCCTACTTTCCGTGTCTGACCCTGACTCCAGGGATGTCCTAGGAGTGGAACCACAGAGGACGTGTCCTGTGTCTGGCTGCTCCTGGTCTGCCTCCCGTCCCCGAGGTGCCTCCATGTCGCAGCCTGTGTCGGGTCCCCTTATGTTTCCTTCTCTTTTCTTTTTTGGAGACAGAGTCTCACTCTGTCACCCAGGCTGGAGTGCAATGGGGCGATCCTGGCTCACTGCAACCTCTACCTCCTGGGTTCAAGTGATTCTCCTGCCTCAGCCTCCTGAGTAGCTGGGATTACAGGCACGCGCCACCTTGCCCAGCTTAATTTCGTAGTTTTAGTAGAGACGGGGTTTCACCATGTTGGACCAGGCTGGTCTTGAACTCCTGACCTCAGGTGATCCACCCACCTCATCCCCGCAAAGTGCTGGGATTGTAGCTGTGAGTCCCTTTGTTTTGAATATACACCCGGGAGTGGTATTGCTGGGTCCTGTGGTCATTCCGTGTTTGAGGTTTCAAGGAGTCGCCAGACTTTTCCCCGGCGCTGCCCCATTTCCCGCCTGCGGCTGTGTCCGAGACCCCGTTTCTCCGTCTGTCAGTGTTGTGCTGGCGGCAGCTGTTCTCATGGGCATGAGGCGGCTGGGAGCTGATTTCTTTTGCTGCTTCTCCGGCACCGCACTCTTCCTCCCACCCTGGGCTGCTGCCCCTGGCGCCCCAAGGCCGTGTTCAGATGTGTTCACTGCTGTTGCTTTCCCGCCAAGATCACTTTGCCTCGTCCTAGCTGTTCTGCTGTTGAGCCCGTGCAGGGGTTCTGATTTTCAGGCCTGAAAGTCCACTGGGCTCTTCTTGTATCTTCTGTGTCTTTGCTGATGCCCTGGTGACCTGTTGGAGCATTTTCCTCACAGCTGCTCTAACGTTTATGCCAGCTGGGCGGGGTGGTGTGTGACTGCGTCCCAGCTACTCCAGAGGCTGAGGCAGGAGGATCACTTGAGCTCTGCAGGTCAAGACCAGCCTGGGCACATGGCAGGAGCCCAGGTCTGCAAAAACGTTAAAGTTAGCCAGGCGTGGTGGAGCGAGCCTGTAGTCACTGCTACTTGGGAGGCTGTGGTAGGAGGATCTCTCGAGCCTAGGAGAGTGCAAAGCTGCAGTGAGCCATGATTGTGCCACTGCACTCCATCCTGGGCAGCAGAGCGAGACTGCAGAAAACCTGTGTCAGAGCCCTAGTGTCTGTCCGCCTTGGCATTGGTGTGCCGACGGCCTTGGTGCGGGTGTCTGCCGACGGCCTTGGCACTCATGCCTTGGTGTTGGCATCTGGGCATTGTGGTCCTGGCATTGCGGTCTGCTGATGGCCTTACCATTAGTACTTGGCACTGGGGTCTACTGAGGGCCTTTCCTGTGAGGGGATTCTCCTGGTTGTTGTCTACAGAGTCCTGGGAGCCTCTGGGCCTTGTTCCGTCCTGTGGAGGACACGGGGGGTCGGGTCCCAGCTGCAGGTCACCCCTGCCTTCTAGGAATTGTGACTCCAGGTGCATCCCCACCTGCCCCGCCTCTGTCCTGTTGTCCCCGGCCTGGCGGGACCGGCCGTGGCCTCTGGACTCTGTTGCCTTTGGTTGCTCTGCGGGGCGGGACCCACAGCATGGGGCAAGCCCAGCAGGTCCTGAACAGCTTCACGGGCTTTCCCCATGCACCTCCCTCTCTGGGGGCTCTGGTGACCTGGCTCCGCTGGCTGCTTCCACAGTCGCACCTGCTTTTGGGCCCAGTGGTAGGAGGGCAGGAGGACAGGAGGACAGAAGGTGCTCAACTGGCTGCCAGCCCAGGAGCTCCTCGATGTCTGGTCTCGTCCCCATCTGCCTCTGGCTGCCTCAGGGCCCTCAGGTGCCAGCTCCCACTTCCCTGCAGGCTGGAGCCTCCCACGGGAGACTGGGGAGACTGGGGTGCGTGGGCCACTGCCTCACCTGAGCCCCTCCCTCACCTGAGCCCCTCCCATTTTATTTTTTAACAATTCGCAAATTCGCAAAATTACAAGTGCAACACATACAGCTGTGAGGCAATATTTGCATGTAGTGTTTGGTTTTTTTTAGTATTTTTGAGGTAGGGTCTCACTCGCCCAGGCTGGAGTGCAGTGGTGCCAACACTGCTCACTGCAACTTCACCGTCCTGGCCTCGAGCGATCCCCCTGAGTCAGCCTCCCACACAGCTGGGACCACGGGCGTGTGCCACCCAGTCTGGCCTACATGTACTGCCCAGGCTGGAATACTGGCATGATCTCAGCTCACTGCAACCTCTGCCTCCCAGATTCTAGCGATTCTCCTGCTTCCTGAGTAGGTGGGATTACAGGCACCCACCACCACAGATGCCTGGCCAATTTTTCTTACTTTTAGTAGAGACGGGGTTTCACCATGTTGGTCCGAATGCTCTTGAACTCCTGACCTCAGGTGATCCACCCATCACAGTCCTCATAAGTGCTGGATTACCGGTGTGAGCCACCGCCCCTGGCCCCTGCACATACTTTAGAAATACCAGTCTCTCCTTACGCAGGGTGAGAACTCTGTCTCGGTGGACGGGAAGTGCAGCGACCCCACGCTGCTTAGCAACTTGTTAGAAGAGATGAAGGCGACGCTGGCCAAGTGTTGAGAACTGACTGCAGCCCTGACGAGTCCGCCGCTCCTCGGTCGTGTGTACTGCACCCAGCTCCCTGTCGTCCTCCGTGTAGACCTCGGAAGTCATATGTTGCGTTGAATTACCTGACCATCCTTTTTTACTGCGACTCTTCCCGCTCTCTTTGGCAAGAAGTCCCCTTCTTGTCCCCAAACCAGCAAGGGACTCCCCTACCTGGGTCCATGCCCTGCCCTGTGCTGGGGGCCAAGTCCTTGAATGTGGCTTCAGGGGCTCCTGGCCTGGGCCAGGACCTTACGGGTACCACGTGGGGGGTACTTGGTGGACAGGGTGGGACTGACATGGCCTCCTCTGGGGCTGCCTGCTTTTGTCCCAAACACCTTGATGGTGGTATCCAGGAGAGGGGAAGGAGGGGCCGTTGTCGCCAAGGTTCCCTCCCAGAACCCACAGTGGGAAAGCAATCCTGTCAGCTACTGTCCATTGTCACTGTGCTTGTGGGCTGGTGGCCAGATCCTGGGATGCCAGGCTGTGGGCAAGGAGGGGCCGGGGGCACCCAGGAGAGGCTGCAGTCAGAACCATGGTGGGGCTGGAGGAGGCCTCTCTGCCACCATTCTTCCTGGTCAGCAGCAGTGTCTCTCGGCAGGCTTGGGTTCAGGGTGGGGGCATGTGGTCGCATCCGCTGCTTGCCACTGTATGCGCCATGGTTACCCCGCGTCCTTCCCAGCACCCTCAGGAAGGCCCGGGCAGGGACTGGGAGCAGCAGACCCAGGCTGTTGGCCTGGTGTGGAGTGTGCCCAGTGTCCTTGGCAGGACCTGAGAGTGCCACCCCACGGGCAGAGCCTCCACCAGGTTGGCAGGGGGACCCCGCTCACTCCCTACAGCCAGTGTGGGCACAGGACTGGCGCTTCCTCAGAGATGGTATTTTATCTTTCTTTTGATGAAAACTGTCACTTTAGCATGTACTCTATCACAGAATCCCGTGCAGTGACTCTAGGATTTGAAACTGTATGATGTGTTACATAAGAATCTCTTTGCTGTCGACAGCCCGTATAAAGGAGAGAGAGACACATCACGCTGCTGTCATGATTTTGTCAGGCTCATCCAATAAAGTTGTAAAACAGGCATTTCCACGCGGGGTCTTCTGCCTAGCCCGGGTCACACGGCGCTGCAGGGCCGGAGCCTCTGTGCCTCAGATCTTGGGCCCTTGGGAGGTGGCCTTGGTCCCCAGCACCATCCAGGTGTGGGGCTCGGGCAGTCACAGGCCCAGGAATCCCCGACCCCATGGTGGGAGCCCCAGCATCTCCCCGCAACGCTGTGCAGGGAAGCAGGTGCCTACTCTCCCTCCCCTTTCACAGGAGCCCCTCGGGGCGGGGGAAGATCCAGAACTGAGAACCTCGGAAGAGCGGCCACCCCTGCCCCGGGTGAATTTACTGCCTTTATACCCACCTCGGCCTTACACCTTGAAGACACGACACTTGAACAAGGTGACACTGGGTCAGTGCAGGGAAGCCCCGTCAACTCTAACCCAAGACGCCGGCACGGTGGGGTCAGCCCCATCCACACCAGCATCCCTTTCAGAAAACCATGGCCGACCAATCTGGCATGGTGGCTCACACCTGTCATCCCAGCACTTTGGGAGGTCAAGGGGGTTGGATCGCGAGGTCAAGAGATTGAGACTATCCTGGCCAACGTGGTGAAACCCAGTCTCTACTAAAACTAAAATATTAGCCGGGCGTGGTGGCGCGTGCCTGTAGTCCAAGCTACTATGGAGGCTGAGACGGGAGAATCACTTGGACCCGCGATTCGGAGGTTGCAGTGAACTGACATCACCACTGCACTCCAGCCTGGTGACTGAGGGAGACTCCCTCAAAAAACAGACAAAGGCCAGACCCAGTGGCTCACGCCTGTAATCCCAGCACTTTGAGAGGCCAAGGCAGGCAAATCAGGAGATCGAGACCATCCTGGCCAACATGGTGAAACCCCATCTCTACTCAAAATACAAAAATTAGCCAGGCGTGGTGGTGCACATCTGTTGTCCCAGCTACATGGGAGGCTGAGGCAGGGGAATCGCTTGAACCCAGGAGCCGGAGGTTGCAGTGAGCCGAGATTGCACCACCGCAGTCCATCCTGGGCCACATAGCAAGATCTATCTCAAAAAAAAAGAAAAGAAAAAAAGACATCAGTTTCTTTCTTGTTACCTAAACACACTCCGCAGCCTCAAAGGAAGCATCCTTCACAGCCAGGCCGAGGCATTGACAGCCGAGGCCTGGCACCATCACTCCCACGCTGCCCGCAGTGGCCACTACCGAGTTTTACCCCACACGCCTGTGGCTCCAGTGTCCCACAGAGCCTGGGTGCTTGGCCAACTTCCCACAGGCCATTCCCGACCTTGGCAAATGTTCCCATGCACCCTTCCCCTGATGGGAGCCTGAGGCGGCCACAAGACTGCATGGGACCGTGTTGGCAGCAGCAGCGTGCCCAGCGACGTTCTCACCAGTGTCCTGCATCCGCCCCAGTGCCGGAGCAGAGGGACGCCTGAGGAAGCGAGGAGACCGCCAGGCCGAGTCACCTGAGCGAAAACGGGACTTGGAACTGCTTCGCCGCACAGATGGGACGAGTCCCCTCCCTCCTGGGCTTCAGGAGCCTCTAGCCATGATGCCACACCTGTCGTCGCCAGAGATGATTTGACACAGCCCATGGTTCCTGCGTTCCTTGGCTCCGGGCTGACCTAAGTGACTGCAACACTCCAGCACGCGAGGGGGGCCCTGGTCTCCCCAACACTGTGGCCTTGCTTTGCACGGAAGAACCCAGGTGCTCTGGGCCTGTGTGAATCTACCCATGTGCACTCAGGTGGGCCAAGGCCCCACATGTGGGAGTCCGAGGATGCTCCCTGAGACCGTCAGTGTCGCTCCGAGTGGGTCTCCTGTGGTCATGGACGCAAGGCTAGGACCCGCCCTGCTCTGCCGGGGACATTTAGGCCTCCCCAGAAGCCCACCTCCAGCCCCCACAGGCTTCCTCCTGCCCTGGCAAGAACTCTTCCGCAAGAAGAAACATCAGGGACTTTAATCACTGCACCCCAGAGCTCCATGGACCTGCCCAGGTGCTGATGCTGAGTGGAGCCCACCCGCATTCCCACCCTCCTGGCCCGGGCCAGCTCGGGCTGAGTTCGGGGTGGAGAGGGACCTAAGGCAGCAGCTGCCCAGCTCCAGAAGGACAGGAGGGGGCTGAGTCCCCAGTCCCCACATTGTGCTGGGGCAGGCCCAGCGCCGTCAGTGCTGCTTGAAACACTTGACGGCATTTTCCAAGGTCAGGTTGTCCAGGCGTGGAGACTTCAGACACCTGAAGGCTGGCGTTACCAGGCTGCAGGGAGACAAGGCTGCCTCAGCTCTCCATGTCCCCCACTCCCCACCTCCCTCCCTGGGGGGGGGGTCTTTGCTGGGGGGCCCCAGGTCTCCTCCCAGCTGGGACGTGTGGTCCTGTGTGTGGCCACGTCCACGATGCCTGTGTGCCTGGGACTTCAGAAGGGTGTGGGGGCCCCGGCACACTGCTGTTGACTTAGATGCACCCCTTCTCCCAAGGCCTCCCTTCTCTGGGTCACTCACAAGGCTGGGGTGGCTCTGTGAGCCCTGAACCAGGAGAAGGAAGAGTGGTTTGTTCATGAAAGCACCACATGGGTGCGGTTGCAGAGGTGGCTTCCAGCAGGTGTCCCAAGCACAGAGAGAGCCCCACCTGCGGTGCTCACCGACCTAGAGGACCCCCGGCACCCCCTCTTCTCTCCTTTTACCTCTGCCCCCTGAAGGCCAGGCCAGCACGGCCTTACCTCATGCTTGTGTCCTGTCTGAAAGGCAAGATGGGGCAGTCAGACCCCTAACCATCGTGGGGAACCCTTCCAGGCTGGACCACAGACCTGGGGCAGGAGTGGGATCAGACCCTACGGGGACCTGTTAAGCAGGATGAGCCCCTCCAGCTGAGGGTCAGAGACCCTGCACAGAGCTGGGGTGAGGTCTCGCCGCCTCGGAGCCCCTGTACGAAGCAGAAGCTGAGGGGGCCCACCTTTGCCACACACCTACTTACCCACGAGGTGCTCACACGCACCCAGCCTGTGTTAGGTTTGAGGAGGGGACTTACTTGTGCCAGTCATTTCTACAAGGACAGCAGGTTTGGACTCAGGAGGCCAAGTGGCCGTGGGCAGGGTTTCCTCCCAAGCCCACTTGGCAAGCTTGCTGCCGCCCAAAGACCCCACTCACATGTAGTTCAAGAGGCCCTGGACCGCTGATTCCCACTGCTCCGAGGACCTGTGGGACATGAGCTTGGAGATGGTGCGCCCCTGAGCCCCAGACCCTGCCCTATCCCAGTGACGAGGGCCAGGTGGACGGCAGGGAGCCCCCTCCAAGGAGAGCCTGGGACAGCAGGGCCCTGGCACAGGCGGGTGTGATGCCTGAGCCCCTACTTGCAGTTATAGCCAAAGCAGATGACGTGTGAGTCTGTGCAGTTGCTGCAGGAGACGGTCTCGTACTGGAAGATGCCTGCAATACACCACAGCCGCCCAGAGCTCCCCTCGGCCTCTGGGGCCCCGAGATGCCGCCGGCGCTCCCCTCAGCCCAGACGGAGCCTCACTTACCACAGTGGCGCTGACAGTCGATTTGGCCTGTGGGAGGGCAGGACGGTGCTGTCTTTCCAGGCCCCCGCCAAAGCCTCCTCCCAACCCGCCAAAGCCTCAGGGCCTGTCCACTGGTACCCAAGGTGACCTCCAGCGTGGGATGGAGCAGCCCGCAGGGGAGGGCGGTGGGAATACTCCCAGCGCCTCTGGGGGCTACTTAGGGGAGGTCCCCGGAGGGTGATAGCATTGATCCTTCAGGCGCTGGGCTGGGTCCCTCCCTGGGGAGCTGCCCTCCTCTCCAGCTGCCCAGTGCCCTGTTCATGTCACTCCGGCCTCAGCCAAGCCCCGTGGGACTCTGAGGCTCTGGGTAGAACCCCCCCCCCCGAAGCCTTATTTGCTCACTTTCGATGATGGCGTTCTGGAGGAGGTGCACCTGCTCCCGGAAGATGTTGCGCAGCTTATTGGGGAAATACCCTGAGGGGCCAAGGCAGGAGGAGGTCAGGCTCAGGCGGGGGGCTGGGGGCGGGTTGTTCTGGAGTGGGCGGGCCCCGCCTCGGTTTCCCGCCCCTTACCCGGGAAGTACATCTTCCCCTGGTATAGCTGATCCATCCTCTGGTACACGGCTCTCGCCACTTGGTCCAGCTTCTCCCTGGCTGCGGGCGGGAGGAGGAGCCAGGTGAACGGCCTGCCGGGGGTTTTCGATGAGGGGGTGGTCGGGTCTGGCTGGGCTCCGGCACTCACTGATCTCGGCGGGGATGGCCAGGTGCAGTTCCTTCATCGTGTCGTCGCTCCAGTCGGTGAGCAACACCCCAGACACGGGGATGTCGCCCACCCACCAAGACTTGAGGTTCACATGGTGGCGGTAGAAGGAGAACTTCTCGGAGAAGTTGCTGTGGCAGTGCAGGCAGCCGTGGGCCAGCGCCACCGTCATGACCACCAGGCACAGCAACAGGGCCATGCCCGTCCCGCCCGCCGCCGGCCAACCAACTGCGCTGCTCACGCCACACCTCTCAGCCACGCACCAACCAACGGCGCTTCCTGTGTCACGCCCCTCCGCCTCGCACCAACCAACGGCGCCCACCACGGCACTAGGCCGCGCCTCCTCCCCCTCTCACCCAACCAGCACAGGCCCCGCCCCCTCCTGGTCCAGCCCTGCTCATGAGTGGCCCCTCAGAGAAAACTCCACTCCAGGATGGGCCCACCGCCAGGCCGCGTCTCACGCATGGGCCAGTGGCTCGGGCTGGCTCCTCGGCCGGCTCCCACTGAGGCCCCGCCCCGTGTCCCAACCACTGTGCAAGCTCCGCCCACGGGCGGTGGCTCCGGTTGCCAGGCAACGGAAAGCTCCGCCCGGCCCCGCGCGGCCTAGCCTGTTCTCAGGCCGTCCAAGGGCTGCTATCCGGAACGTGGCTCCGCGCGCCCTCGCCTCTTGGGGGTCCTAGAGCCCGCGGGACAGAGTCTCGAGGAGACTCCTGCACGTCGCTTCTGCGCAGAGCCCCGGGCCCTTTAAGGAAAGTAGGCCCGCCCCGCGGGTGCGGATCGGCGCGCGTGTGAGGCGTCCTCCGCGGCCGTGTCCCTCCGCTGCGGCTGTGAAGCGGTCAGGTGGGTGCCGGCGTGGGGGGGGGGGCGAAGGCGGGCGGCAAGGGCGGCCAGGTGGGTGCCGGGAGGGGCGAAATTAGGCGGCGGGGAGATCGAGCCCGTAGGAATGGCGAATCCAGGCGGCGGGAAGGCGGATCCCGCAGGAAAGGCGGCCTTAGGCGGCGGGGAGACCCGGCCTTCAGGAAAGGCGAGGCCGGGCGCGGTGGCTCACGCCTGTAGTCCCAGCACCTTGGGAGGCCGAGGCGGGCAGATCGCCTCCGGTCAGGGGTTCGAGACCATCCTGGCCAACATGGCGAAACCCGTCTCTACTAAAAATGCAAAATAAGCCGGGCGCGGTGGCAGGAGCCTGCGGTCCCAGCTACTCGGGAGGCTGAGACGGGAGAAGCGCTTGAACCCGGGAGGCGGAGGTTGCAGTGAGATCGCGCTACTTCACGCCAGCCTGGGCAACAAGAGCCGGGGGGCGTCGGGGAGGAAGGGCGACCTTAGGCGGCGGGAAAGCAGGATCCTTCAGGAAGGCTGAACGCGGGCGGGGAGGGAGGCTGATCCCCCCCTTCCCGGGAGGGGGATTCAGGGTGCGGGGTCCAGCTGCGGGGTCAACTCCTGGTCCCGACCCACTGTCGTCCCCCAGGACCCCCAAGGCCCAAGGTGTCGGGCTTTTTCAAAGCGGCCTTTTTTTTTTTTTTTAAAGATGGGGTTTCACTATGATGGCCAGTCTGGTCTTGAACTCTTTTTTTTTTTGAGACGGAGTTTCGCTCTTGTTACCCAGGCTGGAGTGCAATGGCGCGATCTCGGCTCACCGCAACCTCCGCCTCCTGGGTTCAGGCAATTCTCCTGCCTCAGCCTCCCGAGTAGCTGGGACTACAGGCGCGTACCACCATGCCCAGCTAATTTTTGTATTTTTAGTAGAGACAGGGTTTCACCATGTTGACCAGGATGGTCTCGATCTCTGGACCTCGTGATCCACCCGCCTCGGCCTCCCAAAGTGCTGGGATTACAGGCGTGAGCCACTGCGCCCGGCCTACATTTTTGTATTTTTAGTAGAGACGGGGGCCAGGCTGGTCTCGAACTCCTGGACCTCAGGTGATCCACCCACCTCGGCCTCCCAGAGTGCTGGGATTGAGGCGTGAGCCACCACGCACGGCCCACACTGCTTTTTTGCACTTGCTTTTTTCTTCGTTTTCTCCTTAACAGTTTATGCGGGTTTAACTGACAGGCAATAAACGGCCCGTATTCAAAGCAGATGGTTTGGTAAATGTTGAAATGTGGGTTTTGCACGTTTCACGTTCCATCTGTGCTTTCTGCCTTGGGATTTGCACAGGCAGGAGGAAGTGCCCTGGGTGGCCTCGAGACCCCCTTCCTTCCTGTGCCTCACGAAGTCACAGGGGCTTCGAGTAGCCGCCCCCTTTTACAGAAGAGGAGCTGGGACGCAGGTCCGAGGGGCTGCTGAAGGCTGGAGCCTCCAGAGCCCGCAGTGATGCCTTGAGGAGCGAGTCATTCATTTCCCTGCATGTGTGGGATGATCTGCGTTTTGACTCATGAGATAAAACCCACCTTCCTTTTCTGTTCTCCTGGATTCAGTTCCTTTCCCAGCCTGGTCTCGATTTCGTGTAGGGGAAGCTAGATGTTTGGTTGGTTTGCTGGTTGTTTCCGGAGTGCAGAGGGAGGCTGGCCACGGTGGTTCACGTGTGTTATCCTAGCATTTTGGGAGGCCGAGGTTGGGAGTTCAAGCCGGGCACAGTGGTGCGTGCCTGTAGTCCCACTCGGGAGGCTGAAGTGGGAGGATCGCTTGAGCCCAGGAGTTCTGGGCTGTAGTGTGCTCTGCCGATCAGTGTCCGAACTAAGTTTGGCATCAATATGGTGACTTCCCGGGAGTGGGGGACCACCAGGTTGCCTAAGGAGGGATGACCCTGCCCAGGTCCGAAATGGAGCAGGTCAAAACTCCTGTGCTAATCAGTGGTGGGATTGCGCCTGTGAATAGCCACTGCACTCCAGCCTTAGCGAGACCCTGTCTTGTTAAAAAAAAAAAAAAAAAAGTGGGGGGGTGGAGTTTGAGACCAGCCTGGCCAACATGGCGAAACTTGGTCTCTACTATCAGGCTAGGCGCAGTGGCTCATGCCTGTAATCCCAGCGCTTTGGGAGGTTAAGGTGGGCATATCACAAGGTCAGGAGATCGAGACCATCCTGCCAACGTTGTGAAACTCTGTCTCTAGTAAAAATACAAAAAAATGAGCTGGGCTTGGTGGCATGTGCCCGTAATCCCAGCTACTCGGGAGGCTGAGGCAGGAGAATCACTTAAACCCAGGAGGCAGAGATTGCAGTGAGCTGAGATCGCGCCACTGCAGTCCAGCCTTGGTGACAGAACAAGACTTCATCTCAAAAAAAAAAAAAAAGAAAGAAAGAAAGAAAAGAAGTGCCAGAGGGCGCCAGATACAGCGGCACACACTTGTAGTCCTAGTGCTTTGGGAGGCTTCGGCCGGGGGGCTGCTTGAGCCCAGGAGGTGAGGTCGAGGCTGCAGTGAGTGTAGACTGCACCCCTGCGCTCCAGTCTGGCCACAGAGCAAGACTATGACTCAAAAAAAACAAAAAAATCCTCTTCCAAGGAGGTTCTCTTCTGCCTTAGAGACCTCATAGTGATGTTTTAGAAAAATTCCCCGCACAGCTGACTGAGAGCGTGGGGTTTGAAGGTGGGGAGTTTTAGGCATTCCCCAGCTGATGATCTGCTCCTGTTTTCCTGGCATTAGAGGGTCAAATGGCTTAAGCAGAAAAGGCAAATCTGACTTCAGAAATGGGATTCTGGGGCCAGGTGTGGTGGCTCACGCCTGTAATCCCAGCACTTTGGAAGGTCGAGGCAGGTGGATCATGAGGTCAGGAGTTCGAGACCAGCCTGGCCGACATGACGAAACCCACCCTGTCTCTACTGAAAATAAAAAAATTAGCCAGGCTTGGTGGGCGGGCACTTGTAATCCCAGCTACTCGGGAGGCTGAGGCAGGAGAATCGCTTGAACCTGGGAGGCAGAGGTTGCAGTCAGCTGAGATTGTGCCACTGTACTCCAGCCTGGGTGACAGAGCGAGACTCTGTCTCCAAAAGAAAAAAAAAGAAATGGGATTCTGGGAGGCCTTCACTTGTGCCTTTCAGAGTCCCAGAGAAGGTTGAGGAATACACAGTGGGTGGCTGTGGTCCAGCGTGTGCCTGGCTGCACATGAAAGACGGCTAACTTGGGATTTTTTTCGGACTTTCACTCAATATCTTCTGGGGGCCCTGCCTGGCCTCTTCTGTTTTCTTTTCTTTTTTTTTTTTTTGAGGCAGAGTTTCATTCTTGTTCCCCAGCCTGGGGTGCGGTGGCACCATCTCGGCTCACTGCAGCATTCACCTCCCGGGTTCAAGTGATCCTCCTGCCTCAGCCTCCCGAGTAGCTGGGATTACAGGCACACACCACCATGCCTGGCTAATTTCGTATTTTTATTTTATTTTGACACAGTTTTACTCTTGTTGCCCAGGCTGGAGTACACTGGCATGATCTCAGCTCACTGCAAACTCCACCTCCCGGGTTCAAGTGATCCTCCTGCCTCAGCCTCCAGAGTAGCTGGGACTACTGGTGTCCGAGATTGTGCCACTGCACTGCAGCCTGGGTGACAGAGCGAGACTCTGTCTCCACAAGAGAAAAAAAGAAATGGGATTCTGGGAGGCCTTCACTTCTGCCTTTCAGAGTCCCAGAGAAGGTTCCGGAATACACAGTGGGTGGCTGTGGTCCAGCGTGTGCCTGGCTGCCCGTCCACCACCACACCCAGCCAATTTTTTCTCTTTTTGATAGAGACAGGGTTTCACCATGTTGACCAGGCTGGTCTCGAACTTCTGATCTCAGGCAATCCGCCCACCTTGGCCTCCCAAATTGCTGGGATTAGCGGTATGAGCCACCATGCCCAGTCTAATTTTGTATTTTTAGTGGGGACCGGGTTTCTCCATGTTTGTCAGGCTGGTCTCGAACTTCTGACCTCAGGTGATCCACCCGCCTTGGCCTCACAAAGTGCTGGGATTCCAGGTTTGAGCCACCATGCCCTGCCCCCTTTCCTTTTGATTAGTGGAAAGTGACTATTTTTTCCTTATATACTCATACTGGGAAACGTATGTCAGTTTGCTATGAAGACTCACAGAGAGGGGGGTCTCCTTCCTCAGCTTAGGATCCCTCCTCCCTCCGTCTCTGTACAAGGGAGCCTCTTTCTTTCTTCTCCCTTCTTTCTTGCCCATTAAACTCTCCGCTCCTGAGATTGCAGTGAGCCGAGATTGTGCCACTGCACTGCAGCCTGGCGCCTGGCGACACAGTGAAACTCTGTCTCAAAAAAAAAAAACAACCAAACTCGGCCGGGTGCGGTGGCTCACGCCTGTCATCCCAGCACTTTGGGAGGCCGAGGCAGGTGGATCACGAGGTCAAGAGATCGAGACCATCCTGGTCAACAAGGTGAAACCCCGTCTCTACTAAAAATACAAAAAAGTAGCTGGGCATGGTGGTGCGTGCCTGTAATCCCAGCTACTCGGGAGGCTGAGGCAGGAGAATTGCCTGAACCCAGGAGGCGGAGGTTGCGGTGAGCCGAGGTCCTGCCATTGCACTCCAGCCTGGGTGACAATAGCGAAACTGGTCTCAAAAAAAAAAAAAAAGGGTGGGAGAGAGAAACCTACGTGAAATTGACTCTTGTAGTAAGTAGCCCGACAGCCAAGATTCCCGCCCACCACAGGCCGCATCAGGGGAACACGCACTTCGGGCAAAGTCACCCCAAGCCCATCTGGCTAGAAAGAAAAGCCTGAAACTTGAGCCAAAGCCCGTCAACCCCGGGGGAGCCTTCTCATCCCCACGTCATCCAGGGCGGGCCAGCCACATGGTTTTAAGAGGAATGAGACACGGGCCCCGCTGCGGAGGGACACCCAATATGTGCTAAGTGCAAAACGATGGATTCTGAGAGCTGCCTGTCCGAGAAGGAATGATAAATGCGCACCAGCGTGAAAAAACAATAAGGGACTCTTGTCTCGGAAGAAAAGCAGGTTTTCTTCTGCTGTTTGTCTGTCTCAGACGAGGTGTCGCTCTGTCACCCAGGCTGGAGTGCAGCGGTGCAATCACGGCTCACTGCAGCCTCGACCTCTCGGGCTCAAACCATCCTCCCACCTCAGCCTCCCCACTAGCTGGGACCACAGGCGCATGCCACTATGCCCAGCTAATTTTTGTATTTTTGGTAGAGGTGGGGGTCTTACTATGTTGCCCACACTGATCTCAAAGTCCTAGGCTCACAAGCATGAGCTAAGGCGCCCGACCCTCTGTGAATCTTTGTGTGTATGTGTGTGTGTGTGTGTTTGTTTTTTTTTTTTTTGAGACAGAGTTTCGCTCTTGTCACCCAGGCTAGAGTGCAATGGCGCGATCTAGGCTCACCACAACCTCCGCCTCCTGGGTTCAGCCAATTCTCCTGCCTCAGCCTCCTGAGTAGCTGGGATTACAGGCACGCACCACCATGCCCAGCTAATTTTTTGTATTTTTAGTAGAGACGGGGTTTCACCTTGTTGACCAGGATGGTCTCGATCTCTTGACCTCGTGATCCACCCGCCTCGGCCTCCCAAAGTGCTGGGATTACCGGCGTGAGCCACCGCGCCCGGCCAGGTTTCTCTCCGCTTTTCTTCCCCACAAGTGGTGGTTTTTTTCCTCTTAGGTCTTCTGGTTTTGATGCAGTTCTATCTTTAGCTTATTAGTATAATGCATGTATTCTCATCATTGCTACGTTTAATGTCATATTTCATCGCCTGTACGTCTCACAGGGAAGGAGGATGCTGTTAGTGACTTCCTGTGTGGGGCTGGGCCCAGAGTCTCCTGTGTGGGGCTAGGTACTATGGACATTCAGGGCTCAGTCATTCTCTGGGGTGGAGCGTCGGGCACTGCAGGGTGCTGAGCCTCCACTCACTCCATGCCGGCAGAACCCCTCACATCCTGACAACCACCAGTGTCCCCAGACATTGCCTGGTGTTGAGGGGCAGAGTCATCACCGTATTCAGGCCCGTCGGGGTTGGGGGCAGGGGGCAGGGTGGGCTGGCCCTGACTCAGCCCCCAACAGCCTCTGGGCCATGAAGCAAATGGAAAGAAAAAGGAAGTGGTCGCGGGTGTGAGCCACTCAGAGCATGGACAGTCCCTGCTGGGGACAGAGGGGTGGGCTGAGCTGGGACATCTGGGCGGGGAGCCGGGCCCCCAGTGCCCTGGAGAATCAAGACAGCCTGAGTCACAGTGCCAACTCTGCCAGCTGTGCCTGCTGGTTTCAAAGGCGCCCTGCAGCTGAGGAGCTCTGGGGATGCGGCCAGGGCTGGGCTGAGGTGCGTCAGGTGTCAGGTCCCAGAGTTCCCTCGGTGGAGTCCCCTGTACAGCAGAGGGGAAGCTGCCAGTCTAGCTGGGGTCTTCCCCCAGGGCAGTTTTGCCCCGAGGGGACTTGGAAATGTTGGGGGGGACTTGTGTTTGTGCGGGGGTGCCCCTCCGCTGGCATGGAGTGGGTGGAGGCCAGGGACGCAGCTCAGCACCTGCAATGCCCAGGACAAACTCACCCCAGAAAACGATCCGGCCCTGAATTTGCTAAGGGGGAGACTGCATTAATTATTTGGGAAAAAAAAGTGTACTCCCTGCTCATACTGGACACCGGAACACACTCCCGAGGTGGCAGACAGTGTGAACCAGGGGCATCCTAGCTCCTAGGATTCTTCTCCTCCCTCCTCCCCACTCAGGGTGTGCATTTCAGTAGCCTCCTGGGACCTCAGCAGAGCAGAGGATCATGGGACGCAGAGTCTCTTGGGGGTCCATGGAATCCCTCACCCGAGGTGTGTCCATCGAGGGTGATTCTGTCCCCAGAGGACACTGGGCCAAGTCTCGGACCTTTGTGTTTTTCTCATGACTGGGGGTGCTCCTGGCATGCGGTGGGTGGAGGCCAGGGACTGCTGTGCCCAGGATGGCCCCTCCCTAGAGAGTGACCCACCCCGATGTCCGCAGTCCGGAGAATGGAAACCCTGCCCTCGCGGCAGACGCACCGGATTTGGAATTGAAGGATGTGAGTTCAAGCCCAGACTCGTACCTTTCACCGCGTATCCCCAGGCAAGGCAGCTGGCCTCAGCTTCCTGCCGGGCAGCGCAGTGAGCCCCTCCCCTGGCCGGCAAATGATGAGTTTCACACAAGCACGTCCAGGGCCCCGGCAGATGTCAGGCCCGTTTACTAGTGAAGCGAAGGTGTGTTATCCCAAGGTAGGAACAGGAGAGTCCACTTTCTTTTTTCTTTTGAGGCAGAGTTTCGCTCTTGTTACCCAGGCTGGAGTGCAATGGCGCGATCTCGGCTCACCACAACCTCCGCCTCCTGGGTTCAGGTAATTCTCCTGCCTCAGCCTCCTGAGCAGCTGGGATTACAGGCACGCGCCACCGTGCCCAGCTAATTTTTGTATTTTTAGTAGAGACGGGGTTTCACCATGTTGACCAGGATGGTCTCGATCTCTCGACCTCGTGATCCACCCACCTCGGCCTCCCAAAGTGCTGGGATTACAGGCGTGAGCCACCGCGCCCGGCCCGGAGCGTCCACTTTCAACCCAGTGGGAGTGGTCCCCAGAAAGCGGGAGAAGCACGGACGGCCAGATGCATGTCTACATCCCTGAAAGCGACAGTCACCGTCTACCAGCTAGTCATAAGGTTGTCAAATTCTGAAATCACTCAAAGAGGGAGACAGAGCCGTGCTCGGTGGCTCTCGTCTGTAATCCCAGCACTTTGGGAGGCCGAGGGGGGAGGATTGCTTGAGGTCAAGAGTTCCCAACTAGCCTGGTCAACGTAGCAAGACCCTGTCTCTGCAAAAAATACAACCATTAGCCGGGCATGGTGGTGCACACCAGTAGTGCCAGCTACTCAGGAGGCTGAGGAGGGAGGATTGCTTGAGCCCCAGAGGTTGGGGCTGGAGTGGGCTATGGTTGTGCCACTGCACGCCAGCCTGGGAGACAGAGCGAGACTCCATCTCAAAAAAAAAAAAAAGGAAGAAAAGGAACACTTAGATCCCTTGCTCTGCCAGTCATAGTACAGGCTTTTCCCCTTGGCACTGCGGACATTCCAGGCAGATCGTTCTCTGGGGTGGGGTGTCCTGGGCACTGCAGGGCGCAGAGCAGCATCCCTGGCCGCCGCCCACTCTGTGCCAGGAGCATCACCCAGTCATGACAACCACAAATGCCCCCAGACATCACCCGGTGTCCCCCAGGGTGCAGAACCGCCCCCCAAGGGAGCCCCTGCTGCAGCTGAGTGTGGCTGGGAGCTCTTCACAGCGGCCACGAGGAGGAGAGGCCGGGGGGACCCAGGCGGTGGCAGCTCCGTGGAAGGAGTGCAGCCTGAGTTTGATGGGCGCTTGGGCCATTCCTTCCCGTGGCTTCCTCTTCCTGACGCCTGGGCTCTTGTCTTTTGAGACCTGGGCTGGGTCCTCTGAAGCAAGCACCACAGGTACCGATCGTGTCTCGTCACTGTAACTCCCCTAGGTGACACGATCTTAGTTTCCTTTTGTTTTGAGATACGGTCTCGCTTTGTCCCCCAGGCTGGAGTGCAGTGGCACAATCATAGCTCACCACACCCTCGACTCCCTGGGCGCAAGCGATCCTCCCACCTCAGCCTCCCGAGAAGCTGGGACTGTACAGGCACATCCGCCATGCCCAGCTACTGTCTCAGTATTTGTTGCAGAGAAGGGGTCTCACTAGGTTACCCAGGCTGGTCTTGAGCTCCTGGCCTCAAGCAATCCTCCTGCCTACGCCTCCCAAAGTGCCGGGATTACAGGCGAGAGCCGCTGCGCCTGGAAAGGGTTTTTTTTTAGGGGTGATGAGCGCGTTCTGGAATTAGATGAAGGTGGTGTTTGCACAACTCCACACACGCCCGGAGCCCCAAAACTGTGCAGTTTAAAAGGTGAAAATCTGTGGTATGTGAGTCAGACGCCCATCTGAAAACAGAAGAAAGGGTCATCAGGAGGATTAGGGAGGAATGCCCAACCCCTCGATAGCACCTGGCCTGGAGCGGCCTGGGCAGGCCTCGCCTCCAGCCTGTCTGCCTTCCCGGAAGAGCAGTCGGAGACTCTCACTCTGCAGTGATGGAGCAGGCACAGTGGCTCACACCTGTAATCCCAGCACTTCAAGAGGCTGAGGCAGGCAGATCACTTGAGGTCAGGAGTTCGAGACCAGCCCGGCCAACATGGTGAAACCCCATTTCTACTAAAAATACAAAATTAGCAAGGCATAGTGGCGCATGCCTGCAGTCCCAACTACTCGGGAGGCTGAGGCAGGAGAATTCCTTGAACCTGGTGGCAGAGGTTGAAGTGAGCTGAGATCGCGCCATTGCACTCCAACCTGGGTGACAAGAGCGAAACTCCACCTCAAAAAAATAAACATGAGGCCGGGCGCGGTGGCTCAAGCCTATAATCGCAGCACGTTGGGAGGCCGAGGCAGGCAGATCACCTGAGGTCGGGAGTTTGAGACCAGACTGACCAACATAGAGAAACCCCATCTCTACTGAAAATACAAAAAATTAGCCAGGTGTGGTGGTGCACGCCTGTAATCCCAGCTACTCGAGAGGCTAAGGTAGGAGAATCCCTTGAACCCGGGAGGCGGAGGTTGCAGTGAGCCGAGATCACTCCATTGCACTCCAGCCTGGGCAACAAGAGCAAAACTCTGTCTCAAAATGAATAAATAAAAGCAAAACTTAAGCCGGGCGCGGTGGCTCACGCCTGTAATCCCAGCACTTTGGGAGGCCGAGGCGGGTGGATCACGAGGTCGAGAGATCGAGACCATCCTGGTCAACATGGTGAAACCCCGTCTCTACTAAAAATACAAAAATTAGCTGGGCATGGTGGTGCATGCCTGTAATCCCAGCTACTCTGGAGGCTGAGGCAGGAGAATTGCCTGAACCCAGGAGGCGGAGGTTGCGGTGAGCCGAGATCGCGCCATTGCACTCCAGCCTGGGCAACAAGAGCGAAACTCCGTCTCAAAAAAAAAAAGTAAAACTTAAATAAATACTCAGGTTTTGGAACGTGGCTCTGGGACACTGCCTTTTTTAACAGGACAGATCTGGGCTAGGAGCATCTTCCAGCCAAGTACCAGGGCTGCCAGGCCTGGAGCCAGTGTTGCGCACTGACCTAGAACATGGGGAGCTGACATCTCTGCTCAGGGCTTGTCTCTCCGGCTCCTCCCATGCTCTGGGGCAGCGGTCCCCAAGGCAGTGGCAGGATGTGGAAGCCTCCGGAAGGAAGTGGGTGACTGGGCCGTGAGCTGCTGCACCTCACTGGGGGAGGGGCCATACCAGTTGGTTGCTTAGAGAAACTGTGTTGTGTGAAAAAAAAAAAAGGATATTAGGGGAATTTGTCATCTCACCTTTCATTTCTCTAGAAGTTTCCAAGAGTCACTTGAGGTTCGTCCCGGGGAAGACCCGGGGAGCCGAGAAGGTCTCGGCATTGAATTCTGAGAGCTGGTTCCCGCCTTGTGTTCCCCACGCTGTCCACAGGAGGAATCTGAGAAGAGTGGAGCAGAGGGAGCCCCCGACACGGTAACTGGTCCCGGCCTCGGGGGACAGCAAGGGTGGGGTCAGGGTCCCCAGGCTGCTCTGGCCTTTCCTTGGAAAAGACCCTTTCTGTGGCTGCTCGTCCCTCCGCCGAGCAGCCTGTGCTTGGGCCGGGCGCGGTGGCTCACGCCTGTAATCCCAGCAATTTGGGAGCCCAAGGCTGGCAGATCATGAGGTTAGGAGTTCAAGACCAGCCTGGCCAGTATGGTGAAACCGCCATTTCTACTGAAAATACAAAAATTAGCCAGGCATGGTGGCAGGTGCCTGTAAACTCAGCTACTCAGAAGGCTGAGCCAGGAGAATCCCTTGAACCCGGGAGACGGAGGTTGCAGTGAGCCAAGATCGCACCACCACTCCACCCTGGGCAACAGAGCAAGACCCTGTCTCAAAAAAAAAAAGAGAAATAAAAAGGAAAGAGAAAACCATTTGCTCTGCCCCGTCCTCGAGGCTCTTCGGAAAATGTTTCTTTCCACTTAAAATCCTACACTTTTTTTTTTTGAGATGGAGTCTAACTCTGAAATGCAGTGGCGTGATCTCAGCTCACGGCACCCTCTGCCTCCGCGGGTTCAAGAGAGTCTCCTGCCTCAGCCTTCCAAGTAGCTGGGATTATAGGCATCCACCACCACACCCAGCTGTTTTTTCATATTTTTACTAGAGATGGCGTTTCACCATGTTGGCCAGGCTGGTCTCAAACTCCTGACCTCAAGTGATCCTCCCATCTCATCCTCCCAAAGTGGGGGGATTACAGGTGTGAGCTGCTGTGCCCGGCCCCCCTCCCCTTCTGAAAGGAGACAGAAATGCCAGGAGGAAATGTACCAGGCCCTTGAGCTGCTGTCTTGTTTTCTGGAACTGTCCTGGCATGAGTCTGGTAGACGGGCTTCTGAAGGGCTGTAGGAAAAGAAGCCTCGGCCAAGCACGGCGGCTCACGCCTGAAATACCATCTGCAGAAAGTTTTAAAAAGACCAGGGGAGGCCTGTGGGAACAGCCACCTTCTCCCTGAGGCTCAGCCCAGTGGGGGTCTCCTCCCTCGCCGCAGTCAGCCCTGAGGGTCATACCGCTGCTGGCAGGCCCCAGCTGCCCATCCGGGCCCGTGGTTGCAAGCTAAGCCCCCGGATTGGCCTGGGAGGCGCTGAAATGAACAGAGGGAGTTTTGCCTGTGGCAGGTTGGGTTCTTCTCTGTGCTGTGATTTCTGTCGATGTCGGAAAGTCGGCTTCGAGGTCGGTGAGGAGCCCAGATGTGAAACGGAAATGGGGAGGACGGGGCGTGTGGGCCTGGCCGGGTGGGTGTGTGGTTATCTCTTTGGTAAGGTGGGGCACGCACTCGCCCGTCTGAAGACGTGTGGGGACCGAGGTGATTCCCAGTGTGGAGGAGCATCTGGCTCGGGGTCAGGTGGATTGTGGCCGTCATTTTCCCTCCCAAGGGGGTTTACTGATCTTGAGCTGCAGGGGGTGTGGCTGGCTTGAGGGGGCAGGTGCCAGGGTTCTCAGCCGTCACTGGGAAAGGGCCTCAGGTCTCCCTCCTCACCAAAACTGGTTCCCACCAGCTCAGCCCCAGCATGGATGTGTTCTGGGCTGCCCAGCCGGGGGTACCACAAACACAGAGGTGGCCTCCTTGAATCAGGCGCTTCCCAGGGAGGGTCTGAGGCTGGTCTTTGGGAAGTAGGCAGGAGTGGCCAGGCACAGTGGGTCACACCTGTGATCCCAGCACCTTGAGAGGCAGAGGCGAAAGGATTGCTTGAGTCCAGGAGTTCAAGACCATCCTGGGCAATATAGTGAGACCCTGTCTCTACCAAAAAAAAAAAAAGAAATTAACTGGGTATGGTAGTGAGTGCCCATGACGCCAGCTACTCAGGAGGCTGAGGTGGGAGGATCCCTTGAGCTAGGAGGTCGAGGCTGAAGTGTGAGCCGTGATTCTGCTGCCGCACCCCAGCCTGGGCAGCGGATGGAGAAGCTGTCTCTAAAAATGCATGAGAAGCAAGCGGGCGGACCTGTGTGGTCACCCTGGGGCTGTGCCCCCCACCCCAGCAAAACCAGGACGGGTCAGCTGCCCCTGGGTTCGGAACACCCACGTGGCTCTGCTGGGCTGTGGAGGGGCCCGTGGTGGAGCAGCCTTGGCTCAGGAGGTGCGTGGCACTGGGTTCGTGATCAGGCGGCTGCCCGCGTCCCCGAGGGTTGCTGAGGTTAGTGAGTTGTGCGGCAGAAAGAGCAGTGGCTTCACCCACAGAATCCAGGGTTCAAGGTCCAGCAGACCCACCCACAAGCTGGGTAGCATGAGACGCTGGCCGCTGTAGGCTCAGCCGTTATCTTCTGAGCCACGGTCTCACCCTGGGCGATCTGATCTTAACCCCGAGGGACACTGGGTGATGTCCGTGGACATCTGTGGTTGCCACAACTGAGGGTGCTCCTGGCATGGAATGGGTGGAGGCCAGGGATGCTGCTCAGACCTGCAGTGCCCAGGGCGGCCCCACCCCAGAGAACTATCGCGCCGCAGTGTACACAGAGCCAGCGGGCAGAGGCCCGGTTCCCTCTGTAAAATGGAGACGGGGTTTTCGTAGCCGGAAAATGTGAAGTGCAAGTTCCTCTTTGGGTGTCAACCCTGGTGGCAGGAAGTGATGACGGTGACTGAGGGCCCCACGACAGTGCTGGGGAAGTTTCTGGTCACTGCAGAGTGGGTGGGACCTGAGTCCTCCTGGCACCTGCGCCCAGGCTGCCCTGAGCAGTGTCCCTGGCTGGTCAGTCCTCACCCTTGTGACAGGGCTCCCTTGTGACAAACCACTGACTCTGTGGCTTCTCACGGTGCAGACTCTGTCCTCACTGCGCTCACAGTGCACACAGGTTTTTATGGTTTTTTTTCCTTTTGAGACGGGGTCTCCCTCTGTCGGCCAGGCTGGAGTGCAATGGCGCAATCTCGCCTCTCTGCAACCTGCAACTGCCACCTCCCGGGTTCAAGCGATTCTCCTGCCTCAGCCTCCTGAGTAGCTGGGATTACAAGCGCCTGCCACCGCGCCCCACTCATTTCTGTGGTCTTAGCCGAGGTGGGGTTCCACCATGTTGGTCGGGCTAGTCTCAAACGCCTGAGCTCAGGTGATCCGCCCGCCTCAGCCTCCGGAAGTGCTGGGGTCACAGGCGTGAGCCGCGACTCTCACTTGCTCTTCTCCCCGACTCCCTGGCCCTGTGCACACTTGGGTCGGATGATTCTCTGGTGGGAGATGGCCTGTAGAGTGTGCGGGGACCCTAACCCTCAGCCCTGGGGCCTCGAACTCCTGGGCTCAGACGATCCTCCCACCTCACTTCTGGGAAAACAGGCACGCACACTACACCCAGCTAAGTTTGACATTTTTTTGTAGAGTCTCGGTCTCGCCATGTTGCTCAGGCTGGCCTCGAACTCCTGGACATGGCTGGGCGAGGTGGCTCACACCTATAATCCCAGCCCTTTGGACGCCAAGGTGGGCGGATCATCCGCCTGAGGTCAGGAGTTTGACACCAGCCTGGTCAACGTGGTGAAACCCCCGTCTCTACTAAAGATACAAAAATTAGCCGGGTGTGGTGGTGAGCGCCTGTAGTCCCAGCTACTCAGGACGCTGAGGCAGGAGAATCGCTTGAACCTGGGAGGTGGAGGCTGCAGTGAGCCGAGATCACGCCACTGCACTCCAGCCTCAAAAAGAAACAAAGCGCTGGGGCTGGGGTTTACTGAAGCGTGATGAATGTGTGTGTCCTTCCTTGTGAGGGCCGCGTGGAGCCCAGTGGGCCTGAGCAGGCGTGGGCTCGCCCAGCTCCCCTCTCTGACTCCCTCTTCATCTGAGTCCTCTTTGTGCTGGGGTGGGGACCCTCGCCCTGCCCAGCGCCCTGCATGGGCCTGGCTCTGAGTGTCCCAGTCAAGTCTGCCCATCCAGGAGGTGCACCCAGCAGAGCAGGGTGGGATCTGCATCCACGCCGGGCCTGGCACGGCGCTGGCATCCTGGCAGTGACAATAACAGTCAGTGTTGGCAGTCACAGGCCCTGCGTGGAGAGCATGAGCTAGGCACAGGCACCGTGTGTGATCCAGGTCGTCCCCATGCCCCGTGACGGATGAACTGGGTCGCTGTCCCCTGAGGATTCTCAGGGGATTAGGGGGATGCCAGGGCCCCCGCCCCAGAGCAACCTGCAGGCGTCTCACAAGTCACCACTGAGGCGTGCACAAGACGTGGGCCGGCTCCTGGAGGTTTCCTCATTCATACGGTACCTTGGGCTGGACAGCGCCCCCTGGAATCACCCGGCACCTCACCATGTGACCCAACATGGAAGGGGGTCTTTGCAGATGTAACCAAGTGAAGAGAGGTCACACTGACCGCAGGGGTCCCTGACCCAGTGACCGGTGACGGGCTCAGTGACATGGGGAGAACGCTGACACGACAGAGATTCCTTCTCTCAGTTCGGGGGCTGCACCTCCCAGACCAAGGCATGGGCAGGGCTGGGTCCCTCTGAGGCCGAGGGGACTCTGCCACACCTCTCCTTGCTCCTGGTGGTGGCCGGCGTCCTGGGCCACGCTTGGCTTGTGGAAGTATCACCCCCATCTCTGCCTCCGCGCCCATGAGGCCGTCTCCCTGTATTCACCTCACTGACCATAGGACCCATATAACACAGGGTGACGTCCCCTCCCCAGGCTCCCACACACAGGCTGCGGGCACTAGGGCATGGCTTCCTTTGTGGCGGCTGCAGTTCGGCCCACACAGTCCCCTGTAACCTGCGTCTTAGCCTGCCCCCCACTCTGAAGCCCCAGAGCGCCGGGGAGGAGGAGTCCAGGCCAGGATCAGGCATTGGGAGGATGTGGCCCCTGAGGGCTCTTGGGCCCAGCTGTCCGCACCTTCTGCTGAGAGGCAGTCAGGCCTCGCCACGTGCAGTTCTGGTCTGTCCACTGAGGAGGTGGCCCCCTTTGGGTGACACTCCTTAAAAGTCAAAAGTCCAGGGGATGTTCTGAACCCTGCCACCTGTGGCTGGGCGCGGTGGCCCACACTTGTAAGCCCAGCACTTTGGGAGGCAGAGGTAGGAGGATCACTTGAACCCAGGAGTTGGAGACCAGCCTGGGCAACATAGTGAGACCCCATTTCTACTAAAACTAAAGAAAATTAGCCAGGTGTGGCGGTGTGTGCCTGCAGTCCCAGCTACTCAGGAGGCTCGGGTAGGAGGATCACTTGGGCCTGGGTGGCAGAGTTTCAGTGAACCGTGATCGCATCTCTGCACTCCAGCTGGGGCAACAGAGCGACACTGTCTCAAAAGACAAAAGAAGCTGGACACGGTGGCTCACGCCTGTAATCCCAGCACTTTGGGAGGCCGAGGCGGGTGGATCACGAGGTCAAGAGATCAAGACCATCCTGGTCAACATGGTGAAACCCCGTCTCTACTAAAAATACAAAAATTAGCTGGGCATGGTGGCGCGTGCCTGTAATCCCAGCTACTCAGGAGGCTGAGGCAGGAGAATTGCCTGAACCCAGGAGGCGGAGGTTGCGGTGAGCCGAGATCGCGCCATTGCACTCCAGCCTGGGCAACAAGAGCGAAACTCCGTCTCAAAAAAAAAAAAAAACATACAAAACAAAAGACAAATCCTGTCGCCCGTGGCCCAGCATGTTTCCGGGAAACTCTGTTGCCTCCAGCAGCTCATGACTCCCTGTGTATTTCAGGTCCACAGGGAGAGCTGTGGGACGGGGTGAGTGTTTGGTGTCCTCCCGGCTTGGTCCACGCCCCCAGCCCGCTGGCCCAGGACCCCTCTGCAGAAGCGTTCCAGGACAGCAGGCATCGGTCACCGAGATGTCCAACCCTTTCCTGAAGCAAGTCTTCAACAAGGACAAGACGTTCCGCCCCAAGCGCAAGTTCGAGCCGGGCACACAGCGCTTCGAGCTGCACAAGAAGGCACAGGCGTCGCTCAACGCCGGGCTGGACCTGCGGCTGGCCGTGCAGCTGCCCCCGGGCGAGGACCTCCACGACTGGGTGGCCGTGCACGTGGTGGACTTCTTCAACCGCGTCAACCTCATCTACGGCACCATCAGCGACGGCTGCACGGAGCAGTCCTGCCCCGTCATGTCGGGGGGCCCCAAGTACGAGTACCGCTGGCAGGACGAGCACAAGTTCCGGAAGCCCACGGCGCTCTCCGCGCCCCGGTACATGGACCTGCTGATGGACTGGATCGAGGCGCAGATCAACAACGAGGACCTCTTCCCCACCAACGTCGGTGAGTCGCGGGCGGCCTTCGCTCGGGGATCCACAGCCTTCCGGAGGAGTCGGGGAGGCCGAGCACCGTGGCTCATGCCCGTAATGCCAGCGTTTTGGGAGGCCAAGCCCGGGGTTCGCTTGAGCCCAGGACTTTGAGCTCAGCCTGGGCAACAAAGCAAGATCCCATCTCTGTAAAAAATTTTGGGCCAGGCGCGGTGGCTCACACCTGTGATCCCAGCACTTTGGGAGGCCAAGGTGGGTGGATCATGAGGTCAGTAGTTTAAGACCAGCCTGGCCAACATGGTGAAACCCCATATCTACCGAAAAATACAAAAATTAGCTGGGCATGGTGGCTCATGCCTGTAATCTCAGCTACTTGGGAGGCTGAGGTAGGAGAATTGCTTGAACCGGGAACCCAGGGGGGCGGAGGTAGCAGTGAGCTGAGATCGCACCACTGCACTGCAGCCTGGGCCACAGAGCGAGACCCCCATCTCAAAAAAAACATGTTTTTTAATTAGCCGGGCGTGGTGGCGCATGCCTGTGATCGCAGCTACGGGAGGCTGAGGCGGGAGGATCGCTTGAGGCTAGCAGGTTGAGGCTGCGGTCAACTGTGAGCGTGCCACTGCACTCCCGCGTGGCGACAGAGCAAGACCCTGTCCCCAAAAAAGAAAGATTCCATGTCTCCATCTTCTCCTAAGCTACGCTACTCTCTGTAGCCGCCTTCATCCTGGATTGCTCCTGGTGACGCCTGTCTCCCTCACCGCAAAGCCAGGGAGGGCGGGATCAGCATCGGGCCTGGAGGCCCTCATGGGTCTGGTGCAGAGACAAGCACCCTTGGTAGTGCTGGCCCAGCGTTCTCGGTGGCTTCAGAATCACTGCTGTGGAGCCCCCAGGCCCACCAGGATCACTGCCCCCTGGGAGGGGAGGGACTTGCCCCGCACCGTGTGTGATGCACCGGGAGGGACCTAGTGCCCCGCTCCGTGTGTGATGCACCGGGAGGGGCCTGCTCCTCTCCGTGTGTGATGCACCGGGAGGGACCTAGTGCCCCGCTCCGTGTGTGATGCACCGGGAGGGACCTGCCCCGTTCCATGTGTAATGCACTGGGAGGGACCTAGGGCCTGCTCCGCTCCGTGTGTGATGCACTGGGAGGGACCTGCTCCGCTCCGTGTGTGATGCACCGGGAGGGGCCTGCTCCGCTCCGTGTGTGATGCACCGGGAGGGACCTAGTGCCCCGCTCCGTGTGTGATGCACCGGGAGGGGCCTGCTCCGCTCCGTGTGTGATGCACCGGGAGGGGCCTGCTCCGCTCCGTGTGTGATGCACCGGGAGGGACCTGCTCCGCTCCGTGTGTAATGCACCGGGAGGGACCTGCTCCGCTCCGTGTGTGATGCACCGGGAGGGACCTGCTCCGCTCCGTGTGTGATGCACCGGGAGGGACCTAGTGCCCCGCTCCGTGTGTGATGCACCGGGAGCGGCCTGCTCCGCTCCGTGTGTGATGCACCGGGAGGGGCCTGCCCCGTTCCGTGTGTGATGCACCGGGAGGGACCTGCCCCGCTCCGTGTGTGATGCACCGGGAGGGACCTAGTGCCCCGCTCCGTGTGTGATGCACCGGGAGGGACCTGCCCCGCTCCGTGTGTGATGCACCGGGAGGGACCTAGTGCCCTGCTCCGTGTGTGATGCACCGGGAGGGACCTAGTGCCCTGCTCCGTGTGTGATGCACCGGGAGGGACCTGCCCCACTCCGTGTGTGATGCACTGGGCAGCCCTCAGGGATACCCCGTCAACACGGGTTTGTGCATGATCAGGGTGCATCTCTCCAGAGTACCAAATACGTTTCTTTCTCTTTTCTCTTTTTTTTTTTTGTTTGAGACAGGGTCTTGCTCTGTTGCCCAGGCTGGAGTGCAGTGGTACGATCATGGCTCACTGCAACCTCCGCCTGCCGGGTTCAAGCGATTCTCCTGCCTCCGCCTCCAGAGTAGCTGAGATTACAGGTGGTCACCACCATGCCCTGCTGATTTTTGTGTTTTTAGTAGAGATGTGGTTTCACCATGTTGGCCAGGCTGGTCTCAAACTCCTGACCTCAAGTGATCCTCCTGCCTCGGCCTCCCAAAGTGCCGGGATCACAGGTGTGAGCCAGGGTGCCCGGTCCACCAGCGACTTCTGCCTGGAAGCCCCTCGTCACATCCATGAGCAGGGGGTTCTGGATATAGATTTTGCTGAGTCGGTGGGCCCGCCCCGTCCCTCTCCCTGCAGGCACACCCTTCCCCAAGAACTTCCTGCCGACGGTGCGGAAGATCCTGTCGCGGCTGTTCCGTGTGTTCGTGCACGTCTACATCCACCACTTCGACCGCATTGCGCAGATGGGCTCCGAGGCCCACGTGAACACCTGCTACAAGCACTTCTACTACTTCGTGAGGGAGTTCAGCCTCATCGACACCAAGGAGCTGGAGCCACTGGTGCGTGGGCTCGGGGCTCCAGGACGCGGGATTACGGTGGGGGCTCGGGGCTCCAGGACGCAGGGTCACGGTGGGGGCTCGGGGCTCCAGGACGCAGGGTCACGGTGGGGGCTCGGGGCTCCAGGACGCAGGGTCACGGTGGGGGCTCGGGGCTCCAGGACGCAGGGTCACGGTGGGGGCTCGGGGCTCCAGGACGCAGGGTCACGGTGGGGGCGCAGGGTTACACTGGGGGCTTAGGGCCCCAGGGCGCGGGGTTACGGTGGGGTCCTGGGATTACAGTGGGGGCTTAGGGCTCCAGGGCGCGGGGTTACGGCGGGGGCACGGGGTTACCGTGGAGGCCGGTGGCAGAGTAACCCTTCCAGGGCCAGGATGCCTGACTGCCCATAGTTGGCCCAGCAGTGGGTGACCCAGTCTCTCCCTGGTTCACAGCCCCAGGCTCTGGAGTTGGGAGCTGGGACCCTGCTGATGGGACAGGGGGTGAGGTGGCCGGGAGGGATTCTGCGTTCTCCCATGAAACAAATCCGGACGACAGGGGCAGGTTCCTCCCCAACTCGGTGCTGACCCCACCTCCAGCTCATTCCACCTTCTCAGTCCTGAGGTCAGGTGTCCTGAGCACCGCTCAGTGTCCCTTATGAAAGGGATGTGAGCCGGAGCCAGGGGACTCCACTGCGACACCCTTTTTTTTGAGATGGAGCCTCGGGCTCTAACCCAGGCTGGAGTGTGATGGTGCGATCTCAGTTCACTGTAACCTCCGCCTCCCAGGTTCAAGCCATTCTCTGCCTCAGCCTCCCCAGGACCTGATACTACAGGCACGCGCCACCACACCTGGATAATTTTTGTATTTTTAGTAGAGATGGGGGTTTCACCATGTTGGCCAGGCTGGTCTCGAACTCCTGAGCTCATGCGATCTGCCTGCCTCAGCCTCCCAGAGTGCTGGGATTACAGGCGTGAGCCACCGTGCCCGGCCTAGACTCACCTGGCTTCCGCAGCCAGCCTGCCCTTGCCTGACTGCTTTCCACCTTACCTGGTTTTATCGGGAGACCAACGCAGGGACCAGATTCCTCAATGCGGGGTCCACGCGACTGAAGCCACTGTCCCTTCCTGAGATTGGGGCCCAAATTTGTGACTGGGTGATGGGGCCAGCAGTGGAGTGGGTGGCAGTGATTCAGGGCCTGTGTGGATGTGGGGACCCCTGGTGTGAGACCACAGGTGCACCCTGCCATGCCCGGCTGATTTCTTCCTGTGTGTAGAGATGGAGTCTCACTGCAATGTCCACGCTGGCCTCAAGTAAGCAGTCCTCCTGCCTTGGCCTCCCAAAGATGACAGGTGGCAGCCACTGCTCTCTTACAACTTTAAAAAATGGTTAAAAATGGCCAGACGAGGTGGCTCCCACATGTAATCCCAGCCCTTTGGGAGGCCAAAGAAGAAGGATCACTTGAGCTCAGAAGGTTGAGACCAGCCTGAGCAGCATTATGAGACCTCATCTCTATGGAAAAAAAAAAAAAAAAAATTAGGCACAAGGTTCATGCCTGTAGCTGGGACTACTCAGGGGGCTGAGACAGGAGACTCACTTGAGCCTGGGAGGTCAAGGCTAGTGTTAAGCCAAGATCATGCCACTGCGGTCCCACCTGGGTGAGAGCCAGTAGCTCATCTCAAAAAAAACAAAGATTAAGGCCAGGCATTGTGTCTCACTCTCACGCCTGTAATCCCAGCACTTTGGAAGGTCCGGGCAGGTGGATCACGAGGTCAGGAGTTCAAGACCAGCCTGGCCAACATGGTGAAACCCGCCTCTACTAAAAATACAAAAATTAGCCAGGCGTGGTGTCAGACGCCTGTAATCACAGCTACTCGGGAGGCTGAGGCAAGAGAATCCCTTGAACCTGGAGGCAGAGGTTGCAGTGAGCCAGGATCTCACCGCTGCACTCCAGCCTGAGCGACAGAGCAAGACTCCATCTCGAAAAAATAAAAAAAGACAGAGTTGAGCCATCACGACAGGGACCGTCTGGCCCACAGATCTGCAGGTGGTGACTCTGGCCCCGTGGGGTAGTCTGCTGTCCCATGTCTCAGGCATGCCATTGCCCATCTGGTGTTTGTTGTTTGGGGGTTCAGGGAAGCCCCCAGCTGCCACCTCTGCTTCTCTGCACCTCCTTGTGTCTTCTGTACACGTCACCCTTTTGGGAATGGCTGGTGGTGGCTGATGTCCTGCTTGCTCTTAACAGAAAGAAATGACCGCCCGGATGTGCCACTAAGAGCTGCACTGGGGCCTCGGAGACACGAGGAGGATGCTCCTGAACCACCGTCACCTTGTTCTCCCGCCTGAGTGTCTCGGGAGCCCAGGGGCTGGGCCACTGAGCGGGTGTGGGTCGTCGGGAGCCCCAGATGGCAGATGGCTTCCTCACCATCTGGAGCCTCACCGTCTGGGACTGAACTTGAACTCTGTAATTCTGTGTGTTACCAGCAACCGGAAAAGCCCACCGTGTTTTTTAACCACTTCCACGTCCCGGGAGGCGGGCCGGCTTCCAGGCTCACTCCCCGCCCTGGGTGGCTCCCACCTCCCAGAATTTCCCCCCCAGCCCTAGTCCCCCCCCATTGCTGCCTCCACCTCACTGGGGAGCGCCTGGGGCTGCTGCAGCCACAGCCTGGGCCGCTTCTCAAGGGCACCCAGCATGCTCGGCCTCCTAACATCTCCCGCTGGGGAGGCAAGAAGCTGAGGGCCGTCCAGCCAGCTGAGGGCAGAAATCTCCTCCCCCAGGCCTTTACCCTGCGCCCCCGCCAGCAGTCGCTGGTGTCCACTTCACACAGAGGGACGACCTGGAGCCGGCATCCTCTCCTCCCTCCCCAATCTCTTCCCTTTTTTTTTTTTTTTTTTTTTTTACATAAAAGAGACAGGGGTCTCACTGTGTTGCCCAGGCTGCTCTTGAACTCCTGGCCTCAAGCGGTCCTCCCTCCTTGGCCTCCCAAAGTGCTGGGATCACAGGCGTGAGCCACCGCGCCCGGCCCTGTCTCTTCCTCAGTGCACTCTGCACCCTCGGTTCTTCCGACACGCACAGCTCTCTGGATCCAGGGCTGCCTGGCCTCCCGGGACGCAGGTCCTGCCCCCGCTGCTGACTCATTCATTGCAGGTTTGATTTTGATAGTCACATTTACAGATTTACAACCATCTTGAGATTTCTTTCCTTTGAGACAGTCTTGCTCTGTCCCCCCAGGCTGGAGTGCAATGGTGCGATCTCGGCTCACCGCAACCTCCGCCTCCTGGGTTCAAGCAATCCTCCTGCCTCAGCTTCCCGAGTAGCTGGGACTACAGGCGTGCGCCGCCATACCCTGCTCATTTTTTATATTTTTAGTAGAGACGGGGTTCACCATGTTGGCCAGGCTGGTCTGGAACTCCTGACCTCAAGTGATCAGCCTACCTTGGCCTCTGAAAGTGCTGAGATGACAGGCGTGGGCTACCGCGCCCGGCCGTCTGCGCCTTGAGAACGTCTTCTCTACCTATGACCAGGCCGGGCGCCTCTCCCCGGGTCTGGCGTCTTGCATTTCTGCCGGAACTGGCCCTTCCCAGATGCTGCAAACTTCCAGCTGCACTCCTCTCTCTGTGTGGGCCCACGGGCTGCGGGAGAAAAAGCCACGAGCTTTATGTCCCCTAGACCCTTGGAAGGTGAGACCAGGGTCGTGAACCAAGGAAGCCACCTCCTGTCCCCGGCTGCATCCCTGCCGCCCCACTCAGTGGCCTTTGACCTCGATGGCCTTTCCCGCCTGAGCCCTGCATTGTCCCAGGCCACACGGAAGTCGTGCCTGGGATGGTCACCAAAGAGAAGGACACCATCCCCATCTCTCCTGGCTTCTGCCAGAAAATCCAACAAGTGCAATTAACATGTTGTCACCGCTGAAGCCTGAAGGTCCCAGAACCCGTCCTCTGTCCTTCCAGAAATCACCGGGGTCCAGCTCTCGGAGCCCTTGCAGGACTCCATGAAACAAGGAAGTGCTGGATGGAATGGATCTCCTTACACCTGCAGATGGAGCCTGAACACCAGCACTTCTGTCTTCCCAGGGCTCAGGTGTCCCCAGCAGCCTGGCCACACAGCTTCCCAGGTGGGCTTGGCGGGACGCAGGGACCATCCCTGTCCCATCCACCCCAGAGACCACCCTCCCCAGCCAGGTCCGGAATGGAACTCCAGGTGCAGACGTCAGAATAAATGATGTCATTATGGTGCCCTTGGCAGCTGCTGCTCACTTTCCTTTTGGCAGAGTTAACAGGGTGCCCTGTCCCCAGGGGTGAGCCTCAGGTGTTGGGGCTGAGAAAATCCTTCTTTCTTTTTTTTTCTGGAGACAGGGTCTTGCTCTGTGGCCCAGGTGGGAGTGCACTAGTGTGATCATAGCTCACTGCAGCCTCAACCTCCCAGGCTCACAAGATCCTCCTGCCTCGACCTCCCGAGTAGCTGGGACCACAGCTACATTACTGTGCCCAGCTGATTTTCATTATTCATTTTTTTGTTTTTTGCAGGCCAAGGGGTGGTGGTTCACGCTTGTTATCCCAGCACATTGGGAGGCCGAGGCAGTCGGATCACTTGAGGTCAGGAGTTTGAGACCAGCCTGACCAACATGATGAAATACTTTGTCTCCACTGAAAATACAAAAAATTGGCCGGGCACGGTGGCTCACGACTGTAATCCCAGCACTTTGGGAGGCCGACGCGGGCGGATCATGAGGACAGTCAGGAGTTCGAGACCAGCCTTACCCCATCTCTACTAAAAATACAGAACTTAGCCGGGCTTGGTGTCGGGCGCCTATAATTCCAGCTACTCAGGAGCCTGAGGCAGGAGAATCACTTGAACCCGGGAGGCGGAGGTTGCAGTGAGCCAAGATTGCACCACTGCACTCCAGCCTGGGTGACAGAGCAAGACTGTGTCTCAAAAAAAAAAACAAAAAAACAACTTTCTTTACAAAAACAGGAAGCCAGCCCAGGAGGCTGCGGTTTGCTGATCCCTGTCTTACACAGACTCAAAAAAAATTAATTTTTTTTCTAGAGACAGCGTCTCACTCTGTCGCCCAGGCTTGTCTCAAACTCCCCTCCCCGCCAAGCGACCCTCCTGCCTCAGCCTCCTAAAGCGCTGGGATTGCAGGCAGCAGCCACTGCGCCCGGCCGAGAAAGTCTTCATTTTCACAAGGGTTTTGGGGAGCTCCAAAGAGCCCCAAATGAATACGCAGATACCCAGTATATGGATGGAATTTAAATATGGGGTGGGAGGTCAGGGGCCACTAGGACAGAAACTTCTAGAAGAAAGAGGCTGAGGAAAGCCGGTGTGCGAGGGGCTCGCATCCACGCTGCATTTTGTTTGGTCAGAGTTCTTATTTCCCACGCTCACCAAAAGTGCGTCACTGTCCCTTGCTTGCTTTGTAAAAGAAAAGGAAGCAGAATGTTTTGCCACACGCCAAGGAACAGATTCGGTGGGAAGGCCCGTTACCACCCACCCCTGTGGCCTTGGAGAAATGAACATACACCAAAACCTTTCCTTCACTTATTCATGTATTTCATTTTATCTATTTATCTTCAGGCGAAGTCTCGCTCATTACCCAGGCTGGAGTGCAATGGCGCGATCTCAGCTCACCGCGACCTCCGCCTCCCGGGTTCAGGCGATTCTCCTGCCTCAGCCTCCTGAGTAGCTGGGGTTACAGGTGCCATCCACCACGCCCGGCTTATTTTTGTATTTTTAGTAGAGATGGGGTTTCGGCCGGGCGCAGTGGCTCAAGCCTGTAATCCCAGCACTTTGGGAGGCCGAGGTGGGTGGATCACGAGGTCAAGAGATCGAGACCATCCTGGTCAACATGGTGAAACCCCGTCTCTACTAAAAATACAAAAATTAGCTGGGCATGGTGGCGCGTGCCTGTAATCCCAGCTACTCGGGAGGCTGAGGCAGGAGAATTGCCTGAACCCGGGAGGCGGAGGTTGCGGTGAGCCGAGATCGCGCCATTGCCCTCCAGCCTGGGTAACAAGAGCGAAACTCCGTCTCAAAAAAAAAAAAATACTAAAAAAAGAGATGGGGTTTCACCATAATGGCCAGGCTGGTCTCAAACTCCTGACCTGAGGTGATCCCCCTGCCTCGGCCTCCCAAAGCGCTGGGATTTCAAGTGTGAGCCACCGTGCGCGGCCCAGATTTTTGTACTTTTGGTAGAAACAGGGTTTCACCATGTTGACCGTGCTGGTCTCCAGCTCCTGGCCTCAAGGGACCCTCCTGCCTCGGCCTCCCAAAGTGCTGGGAGAGCAGGTGTGAACCACTGTGCCCGGCTGCTTTTGGTTTTGTGTATGTGAAAACGGTGGGCATTGGGTGAGTCTCTGGGGTCCCTTCCAACGCGAAACGTCATGGGTCCGGGGCCTGACGGAGACCGGCTTTGGCCCCGAATGTTGTGTTTTGCAGGCCCACAGCTCAACAGGGAGAGGCAGCCCGGGCCTGCGGGGAGGCTCAGCCCTGTGCTGCCGCATCTCGCCCCTAGACGGCGCCGCGGTGCCGGGAAACCACGGGCTCCTGTTAGGCAAAGAGCTGGGGATTTGCTGTTGCCTAGGGTTTCCGTTCTGTTCTGTTTTTGTTTTTATTTTTTATCTATTTTTTTTGAGACAGAGTTTCACTCGTTTCCCAGGCTGGAGTGCAATGGCGCAATCTCGGCTCACTGCAACCTCCGCCTCCTGGGTTCAGGCAATTCTCCTGCCTCAGTCTCCCGAGTAGCTGGGATTACAGGCACGCGCCACCGTGCCCAGCTAATTTTTTTGTATTATTAGTAGAGACGGGGTTTCACCATATTGACCAGGATGGTCTCGATCTCTTGACCTTGTGATCCACCCGCCTCGGCCTCCCAAAGTGCTGGGACTACAGGCGTGAGCCACCGCGCCCGGCCTCTTTCTCTTTTATTTTTTTTGAGGTGGAGTTTCACTCTTGCTGTGTAGGCTGCGGTCCAGCGGTGCGATCTCGGCTCACTGGAACCTCCACTTCCCAGGTTCAAGTGATTCTCCTGCCTCAGCCTCCTGAGTGGCTGGGATTACGGGCGCATACCCCACCAGGCCCAGCTAATTTTTGTATTTTTAGTAGAGACGGGGTTTCCTCACGTTGGGCCAGCTGGTCTTGAACTCCTGACCTCAGGCGTTCCACCCGCCTCAGCCTCCCAAAGTGCTGGAATAGGAGCCACGGTGCTGAACCAAAGCATCTTTATTGGGTTGTAACTCACATCTCATACAAGTCACTCGCTCAAGGCGTACAATTTGGCCGCGTGTAGTGTATTCAGGAAAATGCAAACTGCAGAGCATCTGAACCCCAAGAAGAACCAACCTTGCCCCCATCAGCACCCACACATCCCCTCCCTGTCTCTGGATGGGCCTGTCCTGGACCGTTGGTAGAAATGGGGTCACACACCGCATGGCCTTCTGAGCATGACGTCTCCCAGGTTCATCTGAGCTGTGGCCTGGCCCTGTTCCTGATGGGATAATGTGTCCAGCCTGAATGGGCCACGCTGTCCCCCGTCCCCTCCTGCCAGATGTTCAGGCCACGCCATCCTGTAGGCTGCCAGGCATCAGGTGCCCATGTGCTCACTGGGCGTGTGTCCCACGTGGGTGCTTTATGGCCACTGTTTATGCTGTGTCTCTGCTGACTTTCTCGTACCATCGCCTGGTGGCCGCCCCAGGGGCGTGGCCCACGTTCCTCGATATTTCTGGAGCTGTTTGCCCTTCTTTCCACGCCGGAGAAGCAGATGGAAAACAAAAGCAGCTGCCCGCCCTCTGCCTCACCGCGGGCCTCCCATCCCTGGTGGGATCCTGCTCCCAGGAAGGCCGGCGGGAAAACGGCTCCATCTGTCCGTCCTGGAAAGCAGCTCCTGTGCTGCCCCACGCCCCGCCAGGCCACTGTGTCCCCGTGGCTCTGCTGCCGGTTTGGGGATTGCTCTGAGCTGTGACGGCAGGCAGAGGACGGACCTGCCTTTCTGGGCAGGTGGCCCATGGCGCTCCCCCTACTTTGTGGGAAAGCGAGACATGGGGTCGGGTGTGGCTCCCTAGACCTCTCAGCCCAGGCCACCAGTGCTGGTCACCAAATAGCTGGAAACTGCTTCTTCTACCAGGCAGCGGCAGTGGCCCTGGTCCTGACCTCAGCATGTCATGAACACAAGGCTGACTGAGTCCCCGTGGCAAGGTCCCTGGTAGGTCACCGCAGCTGCCCCTCCCGCATCTCTCCACCTGCAGCTGGCTTCCTGGAAGCAGCCTCCCTTACATGCTCCTCTGGCTGGGTGCGGGTCCACAGGTGGCTGTGACTGCCCAGGAGGCCTCGGAAGGACCGGCAATTTTTAAATTTTTATTTAATTAGTTAATTTTTTTTTTTTGAGACACAGTCTCGCTCTGTCGCCCAGGCTGGAGTGTAATGGCGTGATCTCGGCTCACTGCAACCTTCCCCTCCTGGGTTCAAGCGATTCTCCTGCCTCAGCCTCCTGAGTAGCTGGGATTACAGGCACGCGCCACCATGCCCAGCTAATTTTTTTTTATTTTTAGTAACAACGGGGTTTCACCATGTTGGCCAGGATGGTCTCAAACTCTTGATCTCATGATCCGCCCGCCTCGGCCTCCCAAAGTGCTGGGATGACAGGCCTGAGCCACCACAACCAGTCAATGTCATCTGTTTCTTTTTACTTTTCTAAATAGGTGGTTCTTGAACATTTACACGTGTGTTCGTCAACAGCCATGTGAGAACGGGCTGAACACATGAGCATCAGGGAAATGCAAATCAAAACCATCTGCTGGCCGGGCGCGGTGGCTCAAGCCTGTAATCCCAGCACTTTGGGAGGCCGAGGTGGGTGGATCACGAGGTCAAGAGATCGAGACCATCCCGGTCAACATGGTGAAACCCCGTCTCCACTAAAAATACAAAAATTAGCTGGACATGGTGGCGCGTGCCTGTAATCCCAGCTACTCGGGAGGCTGAGGAAGGAGAATCGCCTGGACCCAGGAGGCGGAGGCTGCCGTGAGCTGACGTTGCGTCACTGCACTCCAGCCTGGGCGACAGCGGGACTGGGTGTGCTGGTACATGCCTGTAATTCCAGCTACTGGGGAAACTGAAGCACAGGAATGCTTGAACCCAGAGGCAGTGAGCCAAGATCATGCCACTCTGCTCCAGCCTGGGCCACAGAGTGCGGCTGCTTGTGTATTTTTAAAATTAAGAAAACACACAAATGCAGACCTTCAAAAGGCAGAGTGAGGAACTCGTGGGGTCCTGGACTGGCTGCAGACAGGAGACCTCAAGGTCCCAGCAGGAGGGCAGCTCATGGTGAAGATGGGGTCCAGGCTCTTTCTGGGAAGCCTGTGACACACTGTGGTTGGCTGAATAACGGCCCCTAAAGATGCCCACGTCCTCGGGACCTGTGACTGTGCCACTTCCCATGGCCAAAGGGGCCACCCCCATTCTTCCCGGCCAGCCCTGGCAGGGGTTTCGGGCCTCCAGCCTGCCCACTCCTCGACGGTTGCCACCGGGACACTCCAGGCTTGGGACGCAGAGGGTGCCAGATGGGTGGCTTGGTGGGGCCACCTCCCCTGCTGTCTACACCGGTGGTCCTTCCATCTCGTTTCCTGCCCCTGACTTGTGATTCATTGATCAGGGCTACAGTGGAGAGTGGGGCCTGCCAGGGGTCTGGGTTGTGGCTGTGCCCACCGGCGGGTCAGATCCTGACCACCGGCCTCTGTGCTTAGAGTCAGTTGCACAGCGCCAGCAACCCGGGGGACCAACCCTCCCAGCCCCTCCGGTAGTGGTCCTTGAAAGGAGTTTACTGGCCACAGAGGAAGAGGTGTTGGCACAGGGCCCAGGCCTGGGGTTCAGTCCCTGCTCATCTTCTAGGGTCCCCGGCCCCTGGCTCCTCTGTGACCTGCAGAGAGGCAGGTCGTTGCAGGGGGGTCCTAGTGCAAAACGTAGGCGCTGCATAAATGCAGGGGCGGCCGCCAGGGGAGCAGCGGGCTGTGAATGCACCGCACTCCCAACTGTCCCAACTCCCCAGGTCTATGCACCTGGGGAAACTGAGGCTCAGGAGAACGAGACCGGACCCAGAGTCACACAAGCGGGCAAAAGACGAGAACGCGGGACTGGGCCCGGCCCTGTGACCTCCAACTCCGAGTCTGCGCCCTCCATTCCCTAAGACCTGGGCCAGGCCCAATGACCCCCAACCCTGAGCCCGAGGCCTCCCAGAACACACAGACAAGCGAGGTGTGGAGTAAGGTGTGCGGTCCCTTTTAGAGGAGTACCGCGCTGCCCGCGTGGCCCGACAACAACAATTCCATTGGCTAGAGCGCGGCCTCTGGCCACACCTTTCACACTAAATATCTGGAATCCTATTGGCCCAGAGTCCAGGGCCCGCCTCCCTCGCTCTCGGAGCACGGGCGCCGCGCCAGGTTGGCTGACGCAACCGCGTTGCCCCGGCAACCTCTCCCCGCCCCCGGGGCAAAAGGGCCAGGGCGCCGGAGCCAGTGCGCAGGCGCGCGGCCGCCAAAGCCGGGAGGGGGTTCCCAGGGCTCGAGGCCGGGACCCCCGTGTCCTTGCTCTCCGCGCCGCCATCACCCCGGGGCAGCGTGTCGGGGGCGTCCAGAGCCCCGGTCGCCCGGAGGAGGAGGAGGCGGCGCCAGGGGACCGACCTGCTGCGGGTGTGGCCGGCGGGCGGGGCGCGATAGCGCGGCCGGTGGCTCCGGGGATTTCAAAGGCGCGGGGTCACACGCCCAGCAGCCGATCAGCCGCGGCATTTGGCGACGCAGCAAATCCAGCCCTGCGGGGAGGGGCCCCCCTGGTCCCTGCTCCAGCCCCATGCCCAGGCTACAGGGCCTCGCGCGCCCCCAGCCGCATCTCCCTGCCCCCGGCGCCTCCCAGGACTTGTGACAGTCCGGGGGGGCCTGGCCGGGGCTGCCCTGGCGTCAGCCTTCTCATCTGCACAGTGGGAGCCTCCTGGGGCCGTGCAAGGAGGCTCACCCCGCCCGTGTGGGGTTCACACCCTCCTGGGGCCGTGCAAGGAGGCTCACCCCGCCCGTGTGACCCTCACACCCTCCTGGGGCCGTGCAAGTATTCACTCGTGCAGGGGCTTCAAACGACCCTCGTCCATCCTCTCACGGTCCTAGCGGTTAGAAACCCCACTTGGGGGCCTCACTGGGCTAACATCAAGGTGTGCACAGGGCTGGTCCCTCCTGTTTCTCCAGGGGAGAATCCACTTCCTGCCTTTCCCAGCATTTAGAGGCACCCACGTCCTTCAGCTGTGGCCCCTTCCTTCCCACTCACAGCCAAGCACAGCCTCTTCCAGTCTCTTTCTGACCCTCACCCTGCTGCCTCCCCTCAGGAGGACCCTGTGAGGACACTGGACACCCCGATCATCCAGGATAATCTCCGGTCTCAAAATCCTGACTCAGCCCCACCTGCAGAGTCCCTTTCGCCCTGGAATTTCCCCTGGCCATGCCCTTCCCAGGATCTGCAACCTGAGAGACTACTCCTCCCCACCAAAAAAAAAAAAGGCCGGGCTCAAGCCTGTAATCCCAGCACTTTGGGAGGCCGAGGCAGGTGGATCACCAGGTCAAGAGATCGAGACCATCCTGGTCAACATGGTGAAACCCCGTCTCTACTAAAAATACAAAAAATTAGCTGGGCGTGGTGGCGCGTGCCTGTAGTCCCAGCTACTCAGGAGGCTGAGGCAGGAGAATTGCCTGAACCCAGGAGGCGGAGGTTGCGGTGAGCCGAGATCGCACCATTGCACTCCAGCCTGGGTGACAAGAGTGACACTCCATCTCAAAAAAAAAAACACCTAAGGCTGGGTTGGGGGTGGTGGCTCATACCTGTAATCCCAGCACTTTGGGAGGCCGAGGTGGACAGATCACGAGGTCAGGAGTTCAAGACCAGCCTGACCAACATGGTGAAAACCTGTCTCTATTAAAAATACAAAAAAACTAGCCCGACGTGGTGGTTCATGCCTGAAATCCCAGCTACTAAAGAGGCCGAGGCAGAAGAATCGCTTGAACCCGAGAGGCGGAAGCTGCAGTGAGCTGAGATCACATCACTGCACTCCAGCCTGGGCGACAGAGTGAGTCCATGTCTGAAAAACAAACAGCAACAACAAACCTAAGGCCTTGTGGCCGGGCTCGGGGGCTCACGCCTGTAATCCCAGCACTTTGGGAGGCTGAGGCGGGCAGTTTCTCTGAGGCTGTGAGTTTGAGACCAGCCTGGCCAACACGGTGAAACCCCATCTCTACTAAGAATACAAAAATGAACCATGCGTGGTGACACAATTGTAATCCCAAGTACTCGGGAGGCCGTGGCGGGAAAATGGCTTGAACCTGGGACCGGGGAGGTTGCTGTGAGCCGAGATTGTGCCATTTCACTCCAGCCTGGGCGACAGAGCGAGACTCCATCTAAAAGAAAAAAAAAAGAGGCCTTTTGGGAAAGAGATGAGCTGGGACCAGGGCACCAGGCTCTGCGTGTCCCTCTGAGAGCCAGCTGGGTGTCTTCTGAGCCCCACCCCGGAGTAATAGGAGGAGGAGAGGAAGCCAGGTGACCAGCTGAGGGCTTCGTCCACGGTCACTGGGGCAGGGCAGTGGCCTTTGGCCATCTCTTGGGGCAGCCCTGCCCCCACACCTCCCTGGGGACTGTGCAGGGGCCAAACCTCAGGGAGGCGGGGCATGCACGCTGCTACCGTCTGTCAGAGCAGGGTGGGCAGTCCTGGGCTCCCGGCCACACCTACCCAGCCCGCTCCCTGCCCCAACCGGAGGACCGTGGGCCCTGGCTCTGTCCCCAGGCAGGCCTGTGGAGCCACTGGAGTGGGGTGAGTGTGAGTCAGCCAGCAGGAAGGGACGCTTGCAGCCACTTGCATCAGATGTTCCTACCTCGTGGTCCCATGGCCAGAGGTCTCAGCCCAGCAGGGGTCCCCAAATGACCCTGCCCACGGCCCTCCATAGCAAGGGACGCCGCTGGGGCTGTGGTTCTGGTCCCTGGAGGGCCAGGCAGGTGGGAACGGTGACGTGGGCTCCGGGGCACCCCCTGCACTGGCAGGTGTGCAAAACCCACCCCACATCTTCACTCCCACATGGGATGATGGCTGACCCTGCAAGGACCCAGGCGTGGGGCCCCTCCCGGGGACGCCGGCCTCCACAGGCACACAGACACACGCCCGAAAGTTCATTTAATTTTGTTTTATGTTGCAGGGCAAAGGTCTTTATCGTTACCCTCGGGCCCGGCCGTCTGATACCATACAGAGGCCAAGCTAACTTGGAATTGCAGAGAAACGGTGAATCACTGGGCCAGGCGTGGTGATCGCTGCGCTTTGGGAGGCTGAGGCGGGAGAATCTTTGAGACCAGGAGTTCCAGGCCAGCCTAGGCAACATGGCGAAACCCCCATCTCTACCAAAACTAAAATAGCTCTGTGTTGCCAGGCGCGGGGACTCACGCCTGTGATGCCAGCGCTTCGGGAGGCGGAGGCAGGCGGGTCGTCTGAGCTCAGGAGTTCGAGACCAGCCTGGCCAACGTGGCAAAACCCGGTCTCTACTAAAAATACAAAAACTAGCTGGACGTGGTCGCAGGTGCCTGTAATCCCAGCTACTCAGGAGGCTGAGGCACAGGATTGCCTGAACCTGGGAGACAGAGGTTGCTGTCAGCCGAGATTTCACCACTGCACTCCAGCCTGAGCCACAGAGGGAGACTCCAGCTAAAAAAAAAAAAAAAAAAAGGCCAGGCATGATGGCGGGCACCTGTAATCCCAGCTTCTCAGGAGGCTGAGGCAGGAGAAGTGCTTGAACCCGGGAGGCGGAGGTTGCGGTGAGCCGAGATCCCACCACTGCACTCCAGCCTGGGTGACAGAGCGAGAATCTGTCTCAAACCAACCAACAAACAAATGCTTCGCTTGGAGACATCGGAGCTCCCCCGCCTCCCACCCCCCGCACCCACCTCCCTTGCTGCAGATGCCCAGCTGGGCCCAGAGAGGGGTGGTCAGGGTGGGGGGTGTGCCCAGCCTGTGTCCCTGGCTCAAGGGACGTGGGTGGAGGAAGAAGAGCGGGGCTGGCAAGACATGACCTGCCTGGCACCTTCTCTGGGTCTGGAGACACCCTACATACAACACAGGCTGAAAATCCCCTGCACTCTGCAGAACTAAAGGACAGGAAAGAAACAGCATCACTCCGGAGACGCGAGGAATGGCTCGAGGCCGGCGGGGGGCAAACAGGTCGCCCCCAAGGAGGCTAGCGCTCTGCACCCTCAGGCTGAGGCTGGCCACACCTGCTCCACGGGCAGGGGCCGGACGGGGCGCCTCCAGGGAGCTGCAGGGCCGGGGGCAGGCTGAGCCTTTGGGCCTCCATCCCTCTGGAGTCCCTCGGGTGGGGTGGGTGGTGCGGCCTCCGCTGTAACGAGGCGTCTGTTGTCCCGGGAAGCAGCAGGAACCTGTCTCTGTCCTGGAGGGAAGGCCAAGCCACCCCGTGGTCTGGGCACCCTGGGGCAGGACTGCAGGGACGTGAGCTCATACCTGGGCCTCCTATGTGCTCCAGGCCACTCTGCCAGGGCCCCGGGAGCCCGAGGGAAGCTGGGTTGCTGGGGGATCCCCTACAGCGAGGGGCACGGGCCCAGGCAGTTGGGATCTCCAGTGCGGGTTGCTGGGTGCACACTGGGCTCCGTCAGGGCTGTCAGTTTCGGTCCAAGACAAATTGGGCAGAGGCAGCTCAGCCACAGGTGAGTCCTGCAGCTGTGAGGACCTCGGAGCCCGGCCCCTCCCACCACACCCGCAGGTCACCCTCCTGTGTGGCCAGTTCTGGCTCCCCCGTCAGCACCTTCGGGGCCTGAGCTACCAGTGCACCCAAAACAGGCTCTGGGGGTGCAAGGCCCTGCTGGGTCAACTCTCACCTGCCCCAGGCAAGGAGGCCAGCTGGTGACCAGGTGAGGAGGGGCAGGGCTGCCTGGAAGAAGCCACCAGGCCTAGCCTGGGTTGGGGGAGCCCACAGGGTTCAGGGCAGGTCCGGACCCCTCCTTAAAGGAGCACCAGTCCCTCCTGGCCCAGTTCAGGTTCACTTTAGCCCCGGGGGCTTCCCAGAAGAGGAGGCCATGGCCTAGCCCTGAGCTAGGTCTGGTGATGGCTCCCTGGTGGGAACCCAGTGGGTGGAGAGAGAAAGAAGCCACCTGCTAGAGACACCACTCCCCACCCCAGCCAGGCCCTCAGTGACCTGGAAGCCACTCCAGGGCCAGGCATGACAATGTGGAACAGGGTACCTGGTGGCCATGCCAGGACCGCGGCATGGGGAGCCCACTGGAGCGCAGGAGGGATGTCAGTGTTTGGGGCAGGGGCTCTGTCCTTGTGTCTGGGGCCATGGGCATTTTGACGTGTGGATTTGGCAGCGATGCAGCTGCATGCTGGAGGTGGGGTGGAGGAGAGGAGGGGTAGGGAGTGGGGGAGAAAGGGGAGGAAGGGGAGGAGGGAAGGGAAGAAGAGGAGGGGAGGAGGGAGGCAGCGGAGGAGGGAAGAAGGGGAGGAGGGGAGGAGGGAGGCAGGGGAGGAGGAAGCAAGGAAGGAGGGAGGAAGGGGAGAGGGGAGGAGGGAGGCAGGGGAGGAGGGGAGGAGGGAGGCAGGGGAGGAGGGAGGAAGGAGAGGAGGGGAGGAGGGAGAAGGGGAGGAGAGGAGGGGAGATCAGCTTTAGCTGATGCTGATTCCAGCCGCGGCCACACCTCATTTCCTGTCTGTCCTCCTTTTGAGGCCAGCATCTCCCAGGCCCTGCTCCTCCCCCCGATGCTCCCCACAGCAACCTGAACTCCCTCCCAGGCTGACCGCCTCCCCTGGGGTCATGGAGGGAGGCTGTCCTGGCCCCAGCCTTGCCTGTGCCACCCACCCATGTCCAGGCCCGGCTGCTGCCCACCCTCACTGCCCCTGCCCAGACCACACTGCAGAGGAAACCGTTCACCCGGGGCACCAACCAGGCTTCCTGCCTCCGCCAGGCAGGCTTTTCCCCCGGGCAGGTGGGAGGTTCCCTCCCAGGGCCCCAGCTGGGGATGGGGGTGGGGGCAGGGGCGGGGGTTGAGGTTGGCAGGGGTGGCCATCCTGGTAGGGCCCCCAGGGGCTGGCACAGCTCACGGGCCAGGCTCGGCGTGAACAGGCGGGTGGGTGACCCTCCCCTTCTCCGGGGGCCGATGGCCATCCCCCACCCCCAGCCTGAACCTGGATGCCTGTCCATGGCTGGTCTAGGAAGGTCTGCTAGAGAGGATTCTGTCTCTGACGGGACGGGAGGGGAGAGGAGGGGAGAGGAGAGGAGGGGAGAGGAGAGGAGAGGAGGAGAGGGGAGGGGAGGGGAGGAGAGGGGGAGGGGAGAGGAGAGGAGGAGAGGGGAGGGGAGAGGAGGGGAGGAGACGGGAGGGGAGAGGAGAGGGTGTCCGGGTCCCATTCCTGTTGGCACAGTCCCCAGCATACAGAACGATACCACCCAAATGCCCACACTGGTGAGGCTGACAGACCCCTGTCGATGATTTGGGAAATACTGAGCTCTCTCCCTTCACACCAGACATGGGATAAATGCTCCACGGGGCAGACAGCACGAGCCAGAGGGAACCCGGCTCCTGGGATGCTCCTCCTCTCTCCCTCCCCGCTCAGGGTGTGGATTTCAACGTGTGCCACCTGCTGGGACTTTCGCAGGGCAGAGGATCATGGGACGCAGAGTCTCCTGGGAGGTCCGTGGAATCCCCTCACCCAGGGGGGTCTCCTTCAGGGGACACTGGGTGATGCGTGGGGACATCTGTGCTTGTCCTGACCAAGGAGAGACGACCACCTCGAAAGTCTAACAGGCCAGGCGCGGTGGCTCACGCCTGTCATCCCAGCACTTTGGGAGGCCGAGGCGGGTGGATCACGAGGTCAGGAGATTGAGACCAGCCTGGCCAACACAGTAAAACCCCATCTCCACTAAAAATACAAAAAGTAGCTGGGCGTGGTGGTGCGCGCCTGTAGTCCCAGCTACTCAGGAGGCTGAGGCAGGAGAATCGCTTGAACCCGGGAAGTGGAGTTTGCGGTGACCCCAACCCTAACCCACCGCACTCCAGCCTGGGAGACAAGAGCGAGACTCCATCTCAAAAAAAAAAAAAAAAAATTCTGAGACACCTGAATGGCTCCTTCCGCTGAGGAAGTTCTCCTGGCCACACCCCTCTTAGGATCTGCACCCTCAAAGACCCCCCAAAAAAAACCTAAGGCCTTCTTGGGGAGCAGATGAGCTGGGACCAGGGCCCCAGGCTCCCCGTGTTCCTCTGAGAGCCAGCTGGGTGTCTTCTGAGCTCCGCCCCAGAGTAACAGGAGGAGAGGAAGCCAGGTGACCTGCCTGAGTGCTGGCATGCAGTGGGTGGAGGCCAGGGACGCCGCTAGCACCCTCAGTGCCCAGGACGGCCCCACCCCAGAGGATGAGCTTTGAATGTCCACAGGGCCGATGGGGGAGGAACCCTGGGTGGGACATCCCTCGAGCCAGGGGTCATGTTCCTTTCTGAGCTTCCTCAGTTTACCCGATTGCTGTACGACACTCTGGATGGCTCCCACCTGCTGGGGCTGCGGGAGGGGGCAGGGCCCGGGGCAGGGCCTGGCTGTGGTGCTTGGCTGGACAGAGAGCCCAGGCACAGGCTGAGCCCTGGTTCAGGTCAGCTCCTTGCAGTCAGGGTGAATGTCGAACCACGTCGGTCCACACGCGGGAGTGGACACAGCTCCCCACCTGCACCGAGGGCGGGGCCCACCAGGAGACGCTCCCACTTGCTCTGCCAACTGAGCTGAGTCCCTGTCCTAACCCTGGTACCTGTGAACCGGAAAGTATTTGGAAATCAGCTCTTTGTAGATGTGACCAAGTGAAGATGAGGTCACACTGGAGGCACTGATCCAATGACTGGGGTCCGTCTAAGAAGAGGCGACCGCAGGCCCGGTGGCGCCGGCCTGTCATCCCAGCGCTTTGAAAGGCCGAGGCGAGGATCACTTGAGGCCTGGAATTCAAGTCCAGCTTGGGCAACATAGTGAGACCCCATCATCCCATCTCTACAGAATTGTTTTTTTTTTTTGAGATGGAGTTTTGGTCTTGTTGCCGGGGCTGGAGTATAATGGCACGATCTGGACTCACTGCAGCCTCCCCCTCCCGGGTTCCAGCGATTCCCCTGCCTCAGCCTCCCCAGTAGATGGGATTACAGGCTTGCACCACCATGCCTGGCTAATTTTTGTATTTTTTTAGTAGAGAAACATAGTTTCACCATGTTGGCCAGGCTGGTCTCGATCTCCTGACCTTGTGATCCACCCACCTTGTCCTCCCAAAGTGCTGACATTACAGGCATGAGCCGCCGTGCCCGACTGGCGTTTTGCTCTTGTTGCCCAGGCTGGAGTGGAATGGCGTGATCTAGGCTCACCTCAACCTCCACCTCTGCTTCCTGTGTTCGAGCGATTCTCCTGCTTCAGCCTCCCGAGTAGCTGGAATTACAGGTGCCCGCCACTGTGCCCAGCTAATTTCTGTATTTTTAGTGGAGATGAGGTTTCACAGTCTTGGTCAGGCTGGTCTCGAACTCCTGACCTCGTGATCCACCCACTTCGGCCTCCCAAAGTGCTGCAGCTTCCGTTGTTTTAAGCCCACCGGTGTGTTGTCCGTGTTACAGTAGCTGCAGGAAGCTTGCGCCCACACGACCCCCACGTGCATGCGCGCACGCGCACACACACACACACACACACACACACACACCAGACACACACACTCCTTTCCTCCGTGCACCACTTAGTCGGTGCCCTGCTGAGCCAGGCCCGGGCAGGCAGGTCTAGCAGCTCCACCCCAGGCTCCTGGAGCCAAGGTGTGTGCGCGCCTGCGCATGTCTGTCTTCACACGCACACACAGGCACACACGTACACAAGAAGAGGGGTGGGGGTACCTGGTTTTGTCTCCCCACTGCCAAGAGTCAGAGCAATGCCAGGTTCTGGGTTCAGGCTGGGATTTCCCTCAAGGCTCCTCCCACTGCCCCCTGAGTTCGGGCCTCCCAGCCCCTGCGGCCTGAGAGCAGTGGCCTTGCTGGCAGGGACCCTCCAGCTTCAGGTCAGCGGGGCTCCGGCCTCTCTGAACTCTGGGCCTGGTTAAGAGGACGGTGGGGTGGGCTGTGGGAAGCTTCTGGAAACCCCTGCAGAAGAGGAGACCACAGTCCACCCAGCAGGTGAACCCCCACTCCTGTGTGCCCGGGGCCCCGGGGAGGAATTGGAACCAGGATGCTGTGGGAGGCGGGGCTGGCCGCTGAGGAGGAGCGGATTCTGTCTGCGCCTGGCGTGGGGCCCCTGCTAAAACGGGACTGCCTAACTTCCCGTCCTGGCCACCATCCACCCCTTGGGCCCTTTCCCCGTCGGCCTCGGTCCCCACCCCCTACTCTGGGTCCTGTCAATCACAAAGCGAACTCGGGGAGTCACTGCTCCCCAGGCAGGGGCGGCCCAGGGGAAGGGAGTAGGTGGCGGTGGCCGGACCCCCGGCGCTATGAGGGGGTGGCTGGGACTTGAAACGTGCCGGGGGTGCGGGAGGGCAGAGCTGGGGCCGGCATCGGGGAATTGCAGGAGGGAGCCATGGCGGGTTCCAGAGCCAGGGCATGACCCAAGGGAGTCGGGGTACGCCAGGCCCGGGGCGGCAAGCCGGTGGGGCTGCCCTGTGTAGGGCCAGCCGGCAGAACCCGGCTCAGTGCCCCACAGGTCCCCCGAATCCCGCGAGCCTCAGGCAGCACAAGGCAGGTGAGCCCCGAGCCGCGCTCAGGGACGCCGCCTGGGTTCCGCACCGAGACCCCCCGTGCCCGCACTGCGCATGCGTGCGCTAGCCGTTTCGGACCCGCCCCGCAGCCGGAGCGCGCAGCCGCACTGCGCTCCCGGAGAGCGCAAGCGCTCCCTCCAGGCCCCGCCCACGTCGCGCGAAGGGGGTGAGGCAGGGCGGAGCCTGCGCCGGGGGCGGGGCCAGGGCAAGTCGGGGCCTATAAAAGTGGCGGCGGCGGCGACGCGCCCGGCTCCTCTCGGCGGCGGCGGCCCAGGCGGAGGAGTCCGCTCTGGCGGTGGTGGCGGCGGCGGCGCTGTTCCCCGCGCGGTCCGCGGAGCGGGGTCCGGGCTGCCCGACGTGGGTCGGCGGCGGCGGCGGCACTGCGGCCCCGGCCCGAGCCCGACCCCGGTGAGTGAGAACCCCAGGGCGGCCCTGGGAACTCCGACCCAGTAGCGGGAACGGGCCCCGAGGAGCCCTCGCCGCCCCCGCCCGGTCCGCGCTCCCGGCAGGCCGGGCCCCGCTCACCGCCCTCCCTTTGTCTGCTCCCGCCCGCAGGGTCCCCTCCTCGGCCGCCCCCCGCCCGGCCGCCCGCCCTCGGGCCGCCCCCCGGGCCCTCGGTCCCCCACCCCGCTGGCGGGGCCCGGGCAGAAGATGGTGCAGAAGAAACCAGCCGAAGTTCAGGGCTTCCACCGTCCGTTCAAGGTGAGGCCCGGGGTCGCTTTGGGGACGCTCCGGGCCGGACCCCCAGAATGGCTGGCGGGGCGGGGGGGGGCGCGGCGCTCACCCCTAGGACCGGCTCCCAGGGCTCGTGCCCAGCCCCCGCCCTGCACCCGGGGCTGCCCCTGCCGGCCGTGCGCCCCGCGGGGTCGGCGTGCGAGGATGGGGGCGGTCAGCAGGCCGCAGTCCACTCCCCAGCCGTGGCCGCGGGGTGTTTCCTCCAGGACCCCCAAGTGAGGCTGGCGGCGGGCGCTCCCTGCCCCTCAGGGCGTCAGGCTGTGTCCCGTGCAGGCCCCCGCTGCGTGTGTTTTGGGGGTTCAGCGGGCCGCGGTCCTGTCCCAGTCGCTGCGTTGGGGGGGGGATGTCTCCTGCAAGGTCCAGCTGGTTGTGCCCCGGTGGGGAGGGGACAGCGGGCCACGGTCCCTTTCCTACCGCTACCTCCTTGTGGCTTCTGGGGACCTTCCTTCAGATTCCCCAGGCCGGGCGGGTCAGGTGCACCCCCTCCCGGTGGCCTGTGCCGTGGGGGAGGGGAGGGGACGTTCCCCTCAGCCCTGCACTCCCAGGCACCCCAGGCCCGAGGGCCGTTTCCTGTCGGAGCGGGAAGTTTCTGCGCAGCCTGGGCGGGTGGTGACTGCTGCTGAGTGCTGGTCTCAGATGAGCGAATCTTGGGGGGGAAGGAGAGGGCAGGTGCTGGGCAGGGGCCCCTCAGGACCTGGCCCAGGGGACGCAGTGATGTCAGCCGGCCCGCCCCACCCCGCAGGCTGGGTTATGTAATGGCTTTGCCGGGCTTCCTTGGGCAGGGGCCTGTTGCCCAGTAGGGAAGGCAGGACTGGAGAGAGGAGAGTGTGTGTGTGTGTGTGTGTGTGTGTGTGTACACACGCGTGGTGCTCCAGGGTGGGAGGGGCAGGGAGAGACTGGGAAGGATTCCCAAGCCTGTGCAGCCAGCGTCCCGGGCCACCAACCACCCCTGCACCCATGTCCAGTTTTTCCCTAGGGCAGCAGGCCTGGCACCATCGGTGTCCGGCTGGGCAGGAGAGGGGACCTGACAGACATCTTTTCCCTCCTGTGGCCAGGCGTGAGCGGATACAGGGTCAGTGCATGGGGCCAGCTAGGCAGCCAGAGCAAACCTGAACTTTCTAGATGGTTCCAGCCGCCTCCTGCCAAGGCCTGCTGACTCGAGTCCCGTAGCCAGACCTAGAGCGGTGGGGCCAGGACCGCCTGCACTGCCCGGGACTGTGGGCTGCCCTCTGCACCAGGGCAGCCCAGCGGGGAGCTGGGAAGGTGGGAGGCTGGGTGGGGGAGGGCCTGGCAGGCAGTCCTGGCTGTGAGGTGTTCGTCCAGGTGGCCTGGACCGGTTCTCTAGGAATCTCCTCCCACCCCCACCACCCGCTGCTCCCTGGATTGGGGCCACCTCTCCTGAAATACTCTCCTGCCTCCGCCAGGCAGCAGTCCAGCAGGGAGGCACGGCTGCGGGGGTCCTGGGTTTCTTCCCTTTCTCTGATGGGAAAGTGAGGCTCCGAGGCGGCAGGCCTGGGGTTCCCCTGCACACGGGTGAGGACGCCCCGGAGTCCGGCCTGGCTCCTCCGCCGTGGTGGCTCTGGCCGTCTGTAGCTCTGCTGAGTTGGAGGCTGTGGCTGACGGGGAATGGTGGGCTCTGCAGCCCCCTTGAGTCCTTTCACGAGTTGGGGGCAGCTGCCTCCCGTCTCACCTGTGACGGACCCCAGGGGAGGTCACTAGGCCAAGGTCAGACAGCAGGTGAGCGCCAGTCTGGCCTTTGACCCTGGTCACCCACCTTGTGCTGATGACTGCCCCGGGGCCACCAGGGGCCTCTGGACAAGAGCTGTATGGGAACGCTGACTCCTCGTGGGGGCTGGTTGGAGCCTCCCTTCCTTCCCTCCTCCTGGTCTCCTGGCAGCTATCTGCCCTAGCCAGGTGGGTGAGGAGTCAGGACGGCTGCTTGGCTCTCGGCTCCTCCCAGACTCTGCCCTCTGGCCTCCACCCGTGTCCTGGCCTCGGGTCTCCCATGGGCTCCCCAGAGTCTCATTTCTGCTGAACGACCCTCCTGTTAGAGCCCCACTCAGGTTGTCTGGGGCCCAGAGAGGGGCAGTGACTTGGCCCAGAGCCCCCAGCATCCTCACTGGGACTGGGACTCCTGCCACGTCTGCAGGCCCCTCCTAGCTGGTCCACCGGGTCAGGCGAGGCTGAGAGAGAGCTCAGTCATACAAGGAACCTGACCTGGCCTCAGGTCCCCAGCTTCAAAGGTCTGGGCCCTCACAAAGGGACTGGCAGCCCCCATGCTGGTGGTTCGCCTGGCGGACACGTCCATATGCGTTCCGGCCACCTTCCCCTCCCAGGGCCAGGAAAGGCTCCCCTAACTGCACGGTTCCTTGCCCTGGTCAGGGTCGCGCCCACGGATCCTCGGCTGTGTCGTCTCTTGTCCCAGCCCCAGTGCAGCAGCCTGGGTTTAAATCCTGGCCCTTAGGGTCCGAAGCAGGTTCCTTAGTTGGGTGCCAGGGGCTTCCTCCATGGGTGGCTGACACTGAGATGGGAGAGGGCAGGATGTGGCTTGGGCAGGGCCTGGCACACTCCCGCCTGTGGGTGCCTCTCCTGTGAGCCCCCAGCACTGCGTGGACTGACTCGGTAACTGGTGACTGTGGGGTGGGGTGGCTGGAGGCAGATGAGCCTCAGGTGCGGGGGTTAGATGCACAGAGCCGGGTGGGGGAAGGTGTGCCGGGCAGCCGCCCGACACAAGCGGAGAAGTGCAGGGGCCTGGGCTTGGGGAGGGGCAGAAGGCAGAGTTGATGGGGCAGAGCCCCTACCTGCAGCCGGCCGCAGACACCGAGCCAAAGGGAGGGGAGGAGCTTAGGGGAAGGAGAGGCAGCAGTGGTGCCATTTCACGTGGGGGGGGAAACTGAGGCCCAGGGAGGACAGCTGCCCCGAGATGGCCCAGGAGGCCGTGGGAAAGTAGGCACCGCCACCAGGCTGGCAGCCCTCCCAGTGACTCACCTCCCTCCCACTGCTCCGCTGCCTTTGATCCCCGTGACCCACCCAGAGGTCAGGCGTCCCTGTTCTGTGGACAGGCAGACAGAGGCGCAAGACATGGCCGGGGCCCCATGGGGACTCAACCCTGGCATGGAGGCAGGGTTCCCGAGAGCCATCAGCTTGTGTCTGTCCCCTCCTCAAAATATACCCCTTTCCCCGAGGCCCCAAGGCCCCAAGGCCCTGGGCTGTGGGTGGGAGGAGGGCTTCCCCACGGCCCTGTGGAGATTGGGGCCCATCTTCCTCTGGGGTGGGGCCATCCTGGGCACTGCAGGGTGCTGAGCAGCGTCCTGCTCCTTCCTACTCCATGTCAGGAGCGCCCCCAGCCAGTCATAAACACAGATGTCCCCAGGCATGACCCAGTGTCCCCTGGAGGACAGAATCACCCCTGGGGAGACCCTCCCAGGTTAGCAGATTCCATGGGCCCCCGAGAGACTGTGCCTCCCCTGATCAGGCCTTGATGAGGTGCTGGGAGGCCGCACTCCTTCTGCATGTGGGTCACACCTGTGATCCCAGCACTTTGGGAGGCCGAGGCCAGGGGCTCCAGACCAGCTTGAGTTACTTAGCAAGACTCGATCTCTTGCTATGTTGTCAAAACACAAATTAAAAAAAGAGAAAGAAATCTACACACACACTGTGTGGGGGGCAGCGAGGAAGTGAATCCCAGGATCTCCCCCCCGGCCCAGTTTATGCCGCCTGCCCCATCGGGAGTTGATCCTGGTGTCCTGTGAGCAGGGGACCGAGGTGATTTTTTCAAAATGCTCAGCCCAGGCTTTGTGAGCCGGACGCTGTGGCATTGGCGGAATGGGTCTCCCTGCCGGTGGGCAGGGATGGATGGGCCTGAGGGCCTCTCCTCTCCTCTCCCCTGCAGGGCCAGAACCCCTTCGAGCTGGCCTTCTCTCTAGACCAGGCCCACCACGGAGACTCGGACTTTGCCCTGCAGTGCTCAGCCCGCCCTGGTGAGGGGCCTGAGGGGGAGGAGGGCACGGGGCAGCCTCCATCGCCGCCATGGCAGTGGCCCACTTCTGCAGGAGGGTGGGGGCTGGCCAGCCAGGGCCCTGTCCTGAGCCCCCTGGGCGTGCCTCCTGGGACAGACATGCCGGCCAGCCAGCCCATCGACATCCCGGACGCCAAGAAGAGGGGCAAGAAGAAGAAGCGCGGCCGGGCCACCGACAGCTTCTCGGGCAGGTTTGAAGGTGAGCGGGTGCGGTGGGCACTGGGGGAGTGGGGGAGGGGAGCAGTCAGGGTCCCTCTCACGCCCGCCCCGCTGCCCCACAGACGTCTACCAGCTGCAGGAGGATGTGCTGGGGGAGGGCGCCCATGCCCGTGTGCAAACCTGCATCAACCTGATCACCAGCCAGGAGTACGCTGTCAAGGTGGGCCTGCGGTCACATCCTCAGGGACCCGGTGCCCGGGATCCCTGCTGTGGGGGTGGGGGCAGGGTGTGGCGTTTGGCTCTGCACCCTACAGCTGGGAAAACCAGTGTTTAAAAGTGGCCACTGGGCCCTGAGCCCAGTCGGGAATGACAGCAGAGGTGACCCCCTCTGTCCCCCCATATCCAGGCGGCCAAAGATCTGGTACCAGAGCAGGGGCTCAGTCACCACTGGGTGCCCTGGGCAGTTCCTTCCTGAGTCGTCCCTGGGGGGTGCATGACAGCTGTATGACAAGCATCAAAACCCAGTGTCATGTCCCAGGGCCCAGAGGGGTTTGTGTCTGGGGAGCCTCGGTGCAGGCCGGTGAGAGCTCCGGGGCTAGGCTGGCTGCTAAACCCAGGGTGTGGCCGAAGGGCTGGGATTAGGAGCCTGTTGAGGCCCTGGTGCTGACCCTGTGACCTTGTGGGCCGGGCCATTGGATCCTGTGTTCCAAGAGATCTTCCAGGCTTCCCTCGTGACCTGGCACCCGGCTTCCAGGCTGGGTGGGGTCCTGGGAGGGCTGGCCGCCTGGGAAAGAGGGCCAGGTGTGCCCTGGCGAGCATGGCCGGCCAGGGGCCTGTGGATCCTGGTGGATGGCCAGGCCAGAGCCTTCCTCTGAAGAGGAAGAGGGCAGGTGGGGAGGCCACTGGCTGGGCTGACCGGTTGCTGGGACCACGTGGGCAACAGGTGGGGACAGACACAGTATAGTCCCTGCTTCCTGGGAGCCCCTAGCAGGCCAGGGCGATGGTGCAGGAGGAGCACTAGGCCCCTGCGCAGCATTTCTGCACGGCAGGCGTCCCTCTGAGCACGGCCCCTCCAGGTGGCCCCACGGGCAGCCTTGTTTCCTGTCCTCGTTTGACACATAGGGACACTGAGGCTCCGGGACTTAGGGAGGCTGAGTCACACTGTGTAGTCTCTGGGGGCTCCTAACTGGTGTCTCAGAGACACCTCCCTGCTTATCTTGCTGCCTTGACCCCATGTGGTCAGTGCTGGGATCTGGAGAGCCTGGGGGACTTCCTGGTGGAGGTGTTGTTGGTCACTGACATCCGGGAGTTGGTCCAGCCAGGTGGCAGTGGGAGGAGGAGGTGTCCTGGGTGAGTCAGGCTAATCGCTGGCGCTGTGGGTTTGAGGAGTGTTGTTTCATTCTATGGGGACTAGGGTGTGGGCCCTCTGCCCTCAGTGGGCCAGTGCCTGTTGCTGGCAGACACTTCCTTGGGGTTGCCTGGTGCCACGAGGCTGCTGGTGGATACAGATCCCCAAGCTGGGACCTCAGAAGAGGCCCCTTCTCTGCCAGGAGGGGCTGCGCTCCCCTTCCTGAAGCCGCGTTCTAGCTGGCCACCCAACACACAGGATGAACCTTATTTTTTTGTTTTTTTTTTTTGAGACGGAGTTTCGCTCTTGTTACCCAGGCTGGAGTGCAATGGCGCGATCTCGGCTCACCGCAACCTCCGCCTCCTGGGTTCAGGCAATTCTCCTGCCTCAGCCTCCCGAGTAGCTGGGATTACAGGCACGCGCCACCATGCCCAGCTAATTTTTGTATTTTTAGTAGAGACGGGGTTTCATCATGTTGACCAGGATGCTCGATCTCATGACCTTATGATCCACCCGCCTTGGCTTCCCAGAGTTCTGGGATTACAGGCGTGAGCCCCGCGCCTGGCTGGAGTTGAGTTTTCTCCAGAACCATCTGCAGTGCGTGTCGGGCTCCGCCGTCAGCAGTAGCATCTCAGGACACCGGGGTGTCCAGTTGTTCTCCTGGCCCTTCCTAGGGTGGTTTTGTTGGTCACTATAGACACAGGACAGGGCAGAGATGGGATCCAGGGGCTCGAGTGGACCACGTCCCCCACCACCACCACCAGGCTACCACAGCAGGCAGGGAACCCGGGGCGGAGCGGTCATGCAGGCAGCCACCTGCCCAGTGAGAGGGTCCCAGCAGGTGCCAGGGGAACTGTGGGTGCCTCCTGACCCCATCTGTGTGTGTGAAGGTGGCCGGGAGCAGCTGGATCAGGCAGGAACCTCTGGTCCTTAGAGCTGCTGGGGGCAGTGGGGTGGCTTCCTGAGGCTCTGGGGCTCAGGGAGGCTGGTCCCACTAGTGGCTGGGGCGGCCAACCAGGGCGGGCCTGAAACAGACACCAGCAGAGGCGGCAGGCAGGTGTCTGCCCAGGCTGGCACAGAGCCGGGGAGCGGGACTTAGTGGTGGGGCCTTGTGGGCAGGCAGCCAGGTGCCCCAAGGCCTCCCTAGTTCTATGGGTCACATGGGAGCCAGTTCCCGGGGACAGAGAACTACAGCTGACTGTCTCTTGGTCACGGAGGGTGGCCGCATAAGGCAGGGGACCCTGACGTCTTATGGGGGTATTTTGCAAAAGTCACAGGTCCCAAGTATGTCTCTGAGAGCTGTCAGGGTCACAGGTAGAGAGCTGGCCCACTGGCTTTTCTCTCTTTTCTCTCTCTTTCCCTCCCTCCTTCCCTCCCTCTCTCCCTTCCTTTCTTCTCCCTTCCTCTGCTTCCTTCTTCTCTCCTCCTCCTTGCAATGGAGTCTCACTGTCGCCAGGCTGGAGTGCAGTGACGCGATCTTGCTGCAGTCTCTGCTCTCCTGCGTCAGCCTCCTGAGTAGCTGGGATTACAGGCAAACATTACAGCTAATGTTTGTATATTTAGCAGACATAGTTTCACCGTGTTGGCCAGGATGGTCTCGATCTCCTGACCTCAGGAGCTGCCCATCTCGGCCTCCCAAAGTGCTGGGATGACAGGCCTGAGCCACTGAGTCCGGTCTTCTTTCTTTCCTGTCCCTGACTCGCTTTCTCTCTCTTTTTTTTAAATTAGAGACAGGATCTCACTGTCACCCAGGCTGTAGCACAGTGGTACCATCATAGCTCACTACTAACTTAAAAAGCATTTTGAAGAGATGGGGTCTGGCTCTGTTGCCCAGGCTGGTCTCAAAACTCCTGGGCTCAAGCGATCCTCCTGCCTCAGCCTCCCAAAGTACTGGGATGGCAGGCGTGAGCCTTGCTCTCTGAAGTTGCAGGGCCTAAGTGTGGTGAGTTCCAGGCCTGGTAGTGGAGTTTCTGGCCTGCCCCTCTCCGCCCAGTGAGCCTCCTGCTCACCCTGGTGCCGTGTCCCCTGCCCATTTCAGATCATTGAGAAGCAGCCAGGCCACATTCGGAGCAGGGTTTTCCGGGAGGTGGAGATGCTGTACCAGTGCCAGGGACACAGGTAGGTGACCCACCCTTGCCACGGCATGGGTCTGAGCCTAAACACCACATCACCCCAGCAAGCATTTGTAGGGACCCCAGATTCCCAGGCCCTGTGTTCCCCTCCCTGAAGCAGGCTGGCTGGCAGCCCCAGGTGGGCAGCGTGAAGCGGGCCCATTACCCCAGTCCTAGTCTGGCAGACAGACCCCCTCCTAGGCTGGGCAGCAGGTACCCAGGGACTTCAGGAAGCCTGAGCTCCTCTCTTGCCCCCCCCCCCCCCTTACCCAGGAACGTTCTAGAGCTGATTGAGTTCTTCGAGGAGGAGGACCGCTTCTACCTGGTATTTGAGAAGATGCGGGGAGGTACGTGGGGGCTCCAGCGTGGGGGCTCCAGGCTGCGGGGAGGGAGGGAGCTGGGGGAGGTATTTCCAGCTGGGTCCTTATGGGGTGGGGGCTTGTGGGGTCTGAGTGTCCTGCCCAAATAAATACTGGCTCCGGGGCGAGGCCTTTGGGTCCGAGGAAGCCGGTGTGGGCGTGTCCCCGCCACAGTGGAGGTGGGTGCGGGCCTTGCGGGGACTCGGCGGTGACCTGCATGTCCCCTGCCTGCCCAGGCTCCATCCTGAGCCACATCCACAAGCGCCGGCACTTCAACGAGCTGGAGGCCAGCGTGGTGGTGCAGGACGTGGCCAGTGCCTTGGACTTCCTGCACAACAAAGGTGGGTGGCGAGCCCCCCTGGGGTCCCTAGGGTCACTTGCCAAGGACTCCTGGCAGGTCCCCAGCCCTCACCCTCTGTGGTTCTGTGGCTTCTCCCCCAGGCATCGCCCACAGGGACCTAAAGCCGGAAAACATCCTCTGTGAGCACCCCAACCAGGTAGCCAGCTCGGGCAGGGCGGCCCGCGGGAGGGCGGCCGCGGGGGGCCGCTCACGTCCTCTTTGGCCCTCGCAGGTCTCCCCTGTGAAGATCTGTGACTTCGACCTGGGCAGCGGCATCAAACTCAACGGGGACTGCTCCCCCATCTCCACCCCGGAGCTGCTCACCCCGGTGAGGCCCTCGGGGCGGGGCCGGGGGCGGGGTCTGGGCGCGGCCGCCCGCCCTGCGGTTGCGTAACCTTGTGGAGCCGGGGCCGCGGGGCTCGGGCTTCCGCCTAGCAACAGCCGTTGATTGGCTGGGTGGGGAGACGGGGCGGGGCCTCGGGCAGGCGCCAGCACCCGCCGCTGTTTGGCCGGGTGGGGCGGGGCTGCGGGCGAACTCAGCACCTGCTGATTGGGCGGGGCGCGTTCCCGGCAGCCGCTGATTGGTCGGGCGGTCCGAGCTGCTCGCGCAGGTGACCCGCAGTTACCAGCGCTGGAGCCCCACGTGATGCCGGGAAGCCCCGGCTGATGCGCCCCTCCCCCGCCCGCAGTGCGGCTCGGCGGAGTACATGGCCCCGGAGGTGGTGGAGGCCTTCAGCGAGGAGGCCAGCATCTACGACAAGCGCTGCGACCTGTGGAGCCTGGGTGTCATCCTGTACATCCTGCTCAGCGGCTACCCCCCCTTTGTGGGCCGCTGCGGCAGCGACTGCGGCTGGGACCGCGGCGAGGCCTGCCCTGCCTGCCAGGTGCGGCGGCCGGCGCACTCTTCCCCCCCGGGCCTGCCCTGCGCAGCCACTAACACACGGGACCTGCCCCCTGACCACCCCAGGAACCGGGGCTGTGCACCCCCTAACCCCGGGAGTCCAGCTTTGTGCGCCCCGCACCCCGGGACCTGCCCTGTGCACCCCCACACCCCCGGGGACCTGCCCTGTGCGCCCTCCTCCCTGATGCCAACCGCAGGGCAGTGCCGCCTTGTTCTCTAGCGTCTGGATGACTTTTCAGCTTTGCTTGCCCAAGGGAAAAGCCAGACAGGGTTGAGACATCTGAGAAGGTGGAGTGAGGTCCCTGGTTTGGGGGGGATCAGGCTCAGTATCTCTGGTCTGTGACCCCTGGAACCAGGTCCCCCATGGCTGCCTTTTTGAATCCAGGTCCACTGGGTAGAGCTGATTCTCCAGGTTCAGCTCCCAGTCTCCTCTGCCCCCGCATGCGTGGTCTAAGGTCTCAGTAGTTGTGTTCTGATGGAGCCGTGTGTCAGCCCTCAGTATCCCGGCCCCCGGGGCAGGTCTAAGCCCCCCTCCCGCAGTCCAGGTTTACCGTGGATGCCCTTGGCCATGCAGCTGACCCCCGTGTTCTCTGCCCCCAGAACATGCTGTTTGAGAGCATCCAGGAGGGCAAGTATGAGTTCCCGGACAAGGACTGGGCCCACATCTCCTGCGCCGCCAAAGACCTTATCTCCAAGCTGCTCGTCCGCGATGCCAAGCAGAGGCTGAGCGCTGCCCAAGTCCTGCAGCACCCCTGGGTCCAGGGGGTGAGTGCCAGCTCCGAGGGCCGGGAGGGCATGGGGGGGCCGCCTCAGCAAACGTGGCAAGCCCTGAGGGTGCAGTCTGGGCACCCCAAGATGCATTGAGGCTTGGGATGAGGGGTTCAGTTGAAATCCTCACTGCCCTCCAGTGCATGGTGCCCGCTGGCCCGGCAGGCGGCTTCCAGGAGCAGTTACTCAAATAATGTGGAGGGTGGTGGGGACCTGCGTCCAGCAGCAAGCTGGAGTCAGGCCGGCAGCTAGCCCAGCTGACATAGACCCCGGCCCAGCCTCGCCTAGGTCTCAGGCCCACGCCCCGCCTCCACCCGTCCTCTGTGGCCTCCCATCCGGGAGCAGTCGGGTGTTTCTTCTGCCAGAGGTCATCTGAGCATAACTGCCACCCCAGGGAGTGAGGATTTACTAAAAATAGCACCTGGGGTCACTCCATATCCCTCCCAGGAGCATCCAGAGACCTGTGGGTTAAGAGTGGGGTGGAGGTGGGTTTGGGCTGGGAACAGCTGGGGGAGGTGGGGCTTGGGGCTCTGCCCCTCACCCTCACTGGGTCTTGCAGTGCCAGCCTGGCTCAGCCTCAGGTTCCCTGGGCAGGTGGACATGGAGTCTCCCCGTAGAGACCTTGGGGCGGGGGACTCGGCTCACGGGGCACCCAGCTGCACTCCTGGTCTCTGGTGGGGTCCTGGTGATGGGGTGGGCACGGCATCCCTTGGCCAGATACCCCGTCAGCGCCCCGCCTCCCCCACTCTCGTTGCAGTGCGCCCCGGAGAACACCCTGCCCACTCCCATGGTCCTGCAGAGGTGAGGCCCGGGCCCAGGGGGCAGGGTTTCCAAGTTAAGATGCTTGTGAAAGACCCAGAAAGCCTCTTTGGGGTCGGAGGCAGGCAAGTGTCGGGTGGCTCAGTGGTGCTGCTGGCGGAGCTCTAGCGTCAAGGGGGCAGATAGCCCCTTCCAGAGCTTTGCACAGACTCCAGGGGTCCCCTAAGGGGTGCCTTCTGGGTGACCACCTGCCCCACCTTGTTTCCCAGGAACAGCTGTGCCAAAGACCTCACGTCCTTCGCAGCAGAGGCCATTGCCATGAACCGGCAGCTGGCCCAGCGCGACGAGGACCTGGCGGAGGAGGAGGCTGCGGGGCAGGGCCAGCCCGTCCTCGTCCGAGCTACCTCACGCTGCCTGCAGCTGTCCCCGCCCTCCGAGTCCAAGCTGGCCCAGCGGAGGCAAAGGGCCAGCCTATCCTCGGCCCCCGTGGTGTTGGTGGGAGACCGCGCCTGACCCTCCGTCTCCCCTCTGTACATAGGTCTCATGTCTCCAGATCAAATCGAAAGGTTTTTTAAGCTATCTCCAGCTGGTGTCCAGCGGGCTGCCTCTCCTCCGGCTGGATTCCCAGGCACTAAGCTCAGCTGTGGGGTCGTTTTATAGAAGGTTTTTGCTTTTGGGTTGGTTTTTTTCCCGTTTCCGCCCCCTGCTCTTTATTTTTTCTCCTTTTGATGGTTAAAAGCAATGCAGGCACCCGGGGAGGTGGGCAGAGAGTGTGGGGCTGGGCTTGTCCATTGCCCAGCCCCCGGCCCGCTCACCTGAACTGAAGGTGTCCCAGGTCACCTGCGCCGCCCGCCACCTGCCCACGCCCGCAGCGTTTGCCATCTTCCAGAGGTGGGGAGGGAAACGGGACCCTGCCGTGTGTCCTCTCCCACCTGCAGTATTTCAGGGACAGGCTCTTCCCTTCTATTCCTCACCCTGAGGGCACCCCTGGTGGCTTGGTGGGGGAGGAGAGGGGATGCCTGTCTCCAGATGGGCCAGGCGGGCAGGTGGAGGGCAGCCGACCCACCCCACCCCGCCGGATACCCCAGCCCCTCACCCTCACCCTCACCCGCGTCGTCCCTGTGATAGTTGACAATCGGGCTTCCTGCAAGGCCCACCTGTCCAGGACCCGTGGTGGCCCAGCTCGGCCTCTAACCTTGACCTTAAGCTGCAGCTGGCCCCAGGGGCTCACCGCTACCCTCCCTGCTGCGCCAGGGCCCGAGACCGCAGGAGCCCCACCCGGCCCGCAGTCACTTCCACCACTGCAGGCAGAGGCGCTGGACAGGCACTGTCAGCCAACGTGGGGGTCCCGAAGACACCCCCTCTGGGCACCCGGTGCCCCTTCTCAGGGCTCAGTCTGACCGTGGCCACGTCCTGCCTCGCACTGCTCCTCAGGCCTGGCACAGAAGCTCTGTCAGGTTCATCCTCGCTCTTAGAGCTGGGCCCATACCCTGGGGTCTGGCCGAATCTCCACCCCTAGGGCAGGGTTTTAGGCCTGCCGCCTTCAGGAAAACGGCTGCAGCCTCAGCCTCCCTTCGGGCACCCAGGAATTGGGGGTGTCTGCTCAGCCCCCACCCGCCACGCTCCAACCCCCGGGGGCTGCGGATCCTGCCACCCCTCCCGAGGGTGGGTATGTTCTATGCAATACAAGGTTCCACTTCTGAGTGCGAGGCTGTGGTGGCGGGTGGCAACGAGGGCAGCAGCCCCCCAACTCCACGCCTGGGGCAGCCGCTCTGGCTTCCACGTCCGCGGTCGGGATTGTTTGTCATGTTTAGTTGTTCCTTTTTTTTTTTAAGAAAAAACATCGGTTGACTTTGCTTCCCTGTTCTTGAAGAATACTTGAATGTCGGGGGGGGGGGGCCTGCCCAGCCCCACTGCCCCTCCCAGATCTCCTACAACGGTCACAGTCTGGTGGCCGTGGGGGTGCTGTGCCCTCCCTGGTCCCCACTGCCCATATCTGTGGACTGCCCCTTCCAAAGACCCCAGGGAGATGGGGAAGGCCGCCCCCTCCCCCATCATGTCCCGCCTGTCAGTGATTCCATATTTTGCAAAAACCCCCGCCCGCTGCAGGCGCCCGCAGCTGTCCCAGCTGAAGAGCTGAGTGGCAGCTTTTTTTTCCCAAAGGTGGGACAGTCACTACCCCCCACCCCCGTTGCATCCATGTGTGACCTGGAGGACTGGTCAGAACCATTACTGTGAATGAGCGGAGATCCTGGGCGCTCAGGCCAGCTCCCAGCGCTGGGGGACAGAACAGCCATGTGTCAATATTACGATGTTTTTAAAAGACAAAAAAAAAAAAAAAGCCTCAAAGTTTTTTTAAAGTGGGGGAAAAACATCCAAGCACTTTAATTCCATTGTACCAGGTGAACTGATGGAGCTCAGAGGTTTTCCTTTACACCAACTGTCAATGCCGGAATTTTCTATTCTGTTTTGTAAGGATTTAATAAAAGTCAGAAAACCTGCTGTGCGCGCCTGAGTTCCGGTTTTCTGTCGCCAAATAAGGAGCTGTCCCCACCCTGTTGGTGCAGAGCCACGTTGTCGCCAGTGACGCTGTGAGTGGGGAGTTTTGAGGGGGCTGCTCCCGTGGGGTCTGTCTCTGCCCCAGGATGCCTGGATCCTCCTCTGGGAAGCAAACAGCTGAGCTCATCAACACCGGTGGCCTCATTCCCGCGAGCTGGGGCGACTCCAAGGCAGCGCTCAGCTGCCAACCCCTGGAGATACTATCACTCTGTCGCCCAGGCTGCAGTGCAGTGGTGTGATCTTGGCTCATTGCAACCCTCACCTCCCGGGTTCAAGTGATTCTCCTGCCTCGGCCACCTGAATAGCTGGGATCACAGGCACCGCCACCACTTCCAGCTAATTTTTATATTTTCAGTAGCGATGAGGTTTCACCATGTTGATCAGGCTGGACTCGAACTTCTGACCTCGTGGTTCACCCGCCTCAGCCTCCCAAAACGCTGGGATTACAGGTGTGAACCGCCGCACCCGGCCATTTTTGTGTGCGTGTTTTTTAAAGTGTATCAGCTGGTCTAGGTAGCTCACGCCTGTAATCCCAGCACTTTGGGACACCGAGGCAGGTGGATCACTTGAGGTCTGGCCAACGTGATGAAACCGTGTCTCTACTGAAAACAAAAATGAGCCTGGTGTGGTGTTTCATGCCGATTCTGAGGCAAGAGAGTCACTTGGACCTGGGAGGCAGAGGCTGCAGTGACCCGAGAGAGTGCCAGTGCAGTCCAGTCTGGGCAACAGAAATCCGGGTGTGCTGGTCCCAGCTTCACAGGCCAAAGCGGGAGGACAGCTTGAGCCCAGGAGGTCAAGGCTGCAGTGAGCCATGATCATGCCACTGACTCTGGGCTATAAAGTAGTGAGACCGTGTTTTTTTGTTTTTTGTTTTTTTTTTTTAAAAAGAGTTTCACTCTTGTTGCCCAGGCTGGAGTGCAACCTCTACCTCCTGGGTTCAAGCGATTCTTTTGCCTCAGCCTCCCAAGTAGCTGGGATCACAGGCACACGCCACCACACCTGGCTAATTTGGTAATTTTAGTAGAAACGGGGTTCCTCCATGTTGGTCGGGCTGATCTCGAACTCCCGACTGCAGGTGATTGCCCATCTCAGCCTCCCAAAGTGCTGGGATTACAAGCGTGAGCCACCGTGCCTGGCCCTTGTGTTTCTTTTTTTTTTTTTTTTTTGAGACGGAGTTTCGCTCTTGTTGCCCAGGCTGGAGTGCAATGGCGCGATCTCGGCTCACCGCAACCTCCGCCTCCTGGGTTCAGGCAATTCTCCTGCCTCAGCCTTCCGAGTAGCTGGGACTACAGGCACGCGCCACCACGCCCAGCTAATTTTTGTTATTTTTAGTAGAGACGGGGTTTCACCATGTTGACCAGGATGGTCTCGATATCTTGACCTCATGATTCACCAGCCTCAGCCTCCCAAAGTGCTGGGATTACAGGCTTGAGCCACCGCGCCCGGCCTTTGTGTTTCTTTCTTTCTTTTTTTGAGACAGGATCTGACAACCCAGGCTGGAGTGTAGTGGTGCTACATCTTGGCTCACTGCAACCTCCCAATCCCAGGTTCAACGGGTTCTCCTGCCTCAGCCTCCCGAATAGTTGGGATTACAGGCGTGCCTCACTATAGACCAGCTATTTTTAGTATTTTTAGTAGAGATGGGTTTTTGCTATGTTGACCAGGCTGGTCTCTAAATTCTGGCCTCAAGTGATCTGGCCCCCTCCGTCTCCCAAAGTGCTGGGATTACAAGCGTGACACAGCCAGGGCTCAGCTTCAAACTGTGAACGGGGACCAGCGCCTGCAAGGAGCCTCCCCGTGTGGCTTAGGCTTCCTCACAACATGGCAGCTGTGTCCAGGAAGCAGGGTTTCAAGCTACCAAAGCAGAAGCTGCCAGGCTGACCTGCTGGGAAGCCAGGCGGCGCCACCCCGGCCACCTTCTCTGATTCTGCAGGAGGTGTGAGTCCCGCCCAGGTTCAAGGGCAGGGTCTCCTCCTGAGAGAGGGTGAGAGACATTGTTGCCACTGCCTCTGGATTGTGCAACCTAAGAAGTCCTAGTGATTCTAACCTTCTCTGCATGGCCGGCATCTGCCTCCTCTAGGGTTCATCCCCCCCAGCTATTAAGTTATTCAGGAATGACTCTGTGCTGGGGCCGGTGGCAGAGAAGATGAGCTGGACAGCCAAGGGCTGACCTCAGATCCCGGGATTGGGGGTAGACCAAGAATGGCTTCCTGGAGGAGGGGGCAGAAGGGGGGACAGCGAAGCCTCGTGTTTAAGGTCAGCCAGGTTACAGCTGCAATTCCAGCTGTAACCAGGCTGCTGTGTTCATCAGTTTCCGGATACATCAAGCGGGAGCCAAGGGCAGCCAGGTGAACTACAGGCAGGTAACGCAGTACAGGGACAAAACCCAGAAAGAAAGGAACCGATGACGTTGCCTGATGAGGCGGGGCTTGAGGCCCGGATAGGGCGAGGCTTGGGGCATGGGGGTGGAGCCTTGACGGGGGCGGGGCTTGGGGTCTGAATGGGCGGGGCCTTGTCTGGGGCGACGTTGAGGCCTGGAGGGGCGGGGCTACGAGGGTTCCCAGAAGAGAAGGGCTTGTGTATTGGGAGAGATTTGGGACCCGGAAGGGAGACTTATGGCCTGGGGGGTGGGGCTTATGTACCGGAGGCGGGAATAGGGCTTGTGTTTAGAGCCAAGTTTGGGGCCTGGAAGGGCGGGGCTTGGCGCCTGGAGGGGCAGAGTTTGGGTCTGGGCCAGGTTTGGGGCCCTGAGGGGCGGGGTTGGAGGGTGTTCGGAAGGGGAGGGGCTTGTGTATTGAGTGAGATCTGGGACCTGGAAGACACTTGTGTCCTGGGGGCGGGGCTTTAGTCAGGAGGGGGCGGGGCTTATGAACTGGAGGCGGGGGTGGGGCTTGTGTCTAGGGCTAGGTTTGAGCCTGGAGGGGCGGGTTCGGGCCTGGGGCCGGGTTTGGGGCCTGGAGGGGCGGGTTCGGGCCTGGGGCCGGGTTTGGGGCCTGGAGGGGCGGGTTCGGGCCTGGGGCCGGGTTTGGGGCCTGGAGGGGCGGGTTCGGGCCTGGGGCCGGGTTTGGGGCCTGGAGGGGCGTGTTCGGGCCTGGGGCCGGGTTTCGGGCCTGGAGGGGCGGGTTCGGGCCTGGGGCCGGGTTTGAGCCTGGAGGGGCGGGTTCGGGCCTGGGGCCGGGTTTGGCGCCGGGTTTGGGGCCTGGAGGGGCGGGTTCGGGCCTGGGGCCGGGTTTGGGGCCTGGAGGGGCGGGTTCGGACCTGGGGCCGGGTTTGGCGCCGGGTTTGGGGCCTGGAGGGGCGGGTTCGGGCCTGGGGCCTGGAGGGGCGGGTTCGGGCCTGGGGCCGGGTTTGGCGCCGGGTTTGGGGCCTGGAGGGGCGGGTTCGGGCCTGGGGCCGGGTTTGGGGCCGGGTTTGGGGCCTGGAGGGGCGGGTTCCGGCCTGGGGCCGGGTTTGGCACCGGGTTTGGGGCCTGGAGGGGCGGGTTCGGGCCTGGGTTCGGGCCTGGGGCCAGGTTTGGGGCCTGGAGGGGCGGGTTCGGGCCTGGGGCCGGGTTTCGGGCCTGGAGGGGCGGGTTCGGGCCTGGGGCCGGGTTTGGCGCCGGGTTTGGGGCCTGGAGGGGGGGGTTCGGGCCTGGGGCCGGGTTTGGGGCCTGGAGGGGCGGGTTCGGGCCTGGGGCCGGGTTTGGGGCCTGGAGGGGCGGGTTCGGGCCTGGGGCCGGGTTTGGCGCCGGGTTTGGGGCCTGGAGGGGGGGGTTCGGGCCTGGGGCCGGGTTTGGCGCCGGGTTTGGGGCCTGGAGGGGCGGGTTCGGGCCTGGGGCCGGGTTTGGCGCCGGGTTTGGGGCCTGGAGGGGCGGGTTCGGGCCTGGGGCCTGGAGGGGCGGGTTCCGGCCTGGGGCCGGGTTTGGCACCGGGTTTGGGGCCTGGAGGGGCGGGTTCGGGCCTGGGGCCGGGTTTGGGGCCTGGAGGGGAGTGGAGGTGAGAGATGGCGCCCTGGACCGGAGGGTTCACGGGCTGCCCCAGGAGCCTGCGTGGGAGAAGGCGTGAGGAGGAGAAGGAAGGTTACGGTACCCGCACACCGCGAAGCTGGAGCACCGAGGGCAAGCACCGTGTGGGGTCACACCCGACCGTGGCGGGGGGACGGGGTGCACCCAAAAGCGGCAGGGAACCCAGGCAGCGTTTTCTTTTTTCACATAACACCTTCGCTGTGATAAAACTCAGCACCTGGCCGGGCGCGGTGGCTCCCGCCCGAAATCCCAGCACCTGGGGAGGCCGAGGTGGGCGGATCACATGAGGTCAGGAGTTCAAGGCCAGACTGGCCAACACGGGGAAACCCGGTCTCTATTAAAAATACAAAACTAAGGCCGGGCGCGGTGGCTCACGCCTGTAATCCCAGCACTTTGGGAGGCCGAGGCGGGTGGATCACGAGGTCAAGAGATCGAGACCATCCCGGTCAACATGGTGAAACCCTGTCTCTACTAAAAATACAAAAATTAGCTGGGCACGGTGGCGCGTGCCTGTAATCCCAGCTACTCGGGAGGCTGAGGCAGGAGAATCACCTGAACCCAGGAGGCGGAGGTTGCGGTGAGCCGAGATTGCGCCATTGCACTCCAGCCTGGGTGACAAGAGCGAAACTCCGTCTCAAAAACATATAAAGTAAATAAAATAAATATAAAATAAAAATAAATAAATACAAACTAGCCTGGCGTGGTGACAGGTGCCTGTAATCCCAGGTACCCGGGAGGCTGAGGCAGGAAAATCATTTGAGCTCAGGAGGCCGAGGCTGCAGTGAGCCGAGACTGCCTCATTGCACTCCAGCCTGGGCGACAGAGTGAGAATGTTACAAAAACCAGCACCGTATTTCACCCACTTGATCTAAAATTCAGTGGTTTTAGCACAAGCAAGGTTGTGCTACCTTCGCCTCTAACCCATATTGCAGCATTCTCA